CGTGGCAGGCACATCTCCCACTCTCCGGGAGGATGCCCACTAGGTAGGCAGAGCTCAACATTCCCATTCCTGTGTTGCTGCCTCAGACATGACTCTTTGTCCCATGGGCCACTCCACAATGTTGAGGTCCCTTTCTTTGCCCTGTGTTCTTCTCTTGACCTTTTGTGGTGACAGGTGTCCTAATGCCATCTCAAAGATCATGCTGTGGTCTTGCTAGTCCTGTCTTGTTTTCCCCATTATTGCTTCTTATTTCCCCTAAAACCTGGGGCTTATCTGCACAGCCATGATCACCTTGCTGTTACTGTTCCTGCCCTAGGTCCCCTGTCACGTTGCTAGAACTGCCGCTAGTTTTTGCACTTTCTGACTCCCTGGTAGGGGTGTTTTATATCCAAAATCATCCAGTGCAACCTCATGCTTCGTGCAAGTATCTTGGTGGCACTGTGGTTCTGAGAGCTGCTCTGCTTTCTTCCAACTGTTGTGAAATGGTTTAGTAGAAGATACTACCTCTCCTTAAGACTTTTCTCCCTATGTTCTCTTAGCATGGTGTCTACTGTGTTGCAAAGGCAGAATCATTGCTAATAGTAAAAAGGAAGGTGTAGGAAGAAGATGATGGGAGATTTAAGCCGCCTTAAAAAGAATTAGATACCGGAAGCAAGAAATATTTGAACTGTAAACTAAGCAAGACATTTGGAGAAGTAGTCACAATACTTTTTGCTAAGTGTTTTCATCATCTTTTGTTTTGCTAAAATTGGCACTGTGTAGACTAAGTTTGTGCTCCAGAGGAAACCTTGAGTTCTAGGTATCTCAGGTTAATCTGAGGCCAGGACAAGATCCACCCCCATTCTGGAGTCCTCCTTAAAAATGGGCATCACACTCAACTTCTGTTTCTTCAGGTTTCAGATACTACTGCAAGTAGCGGCTCTGTAGTTTCCTCGCTGAGTTTTAGTACTCGGGACCATATCATCAGGGTCTCCTGACTGTTCCAGAACCTCTTCTGAGGATGCTTTGATTTCACATAAATTCTCTTGCTGTATGTATAGTGTGTTTTATACACATAGCTATTAGTGTTGACTATGACCACGGAGTATTTTGGCAGGGCGCTGGCATCTGTAAGAGGATTCCTGCAACAAGCCATAAGCTCCCACTTCAAGGTAATGATCTGCGAAGGAACCAGTTAAAATAAATGTCTGTTCAGTTGGGACCAAGAGGCTTACAAATGTGCCAGGCCTCTGTAATGGATCTCTGGAGGCAGAACAGAACCTGGAGGAGCTCCAAGTCCCACCTTCTTCATGCAGCTCACTAAAGAACAGCTCCCTCCTGTGCCCACTGCGCTCTGGTTTGCTCACAGGTCGTATGCAGCGCTAGGCACAGGGCTAGTCCATGGTGAGCTGTTGGTGGAGACATGGGTCAGCTTCCTAGGCATGCTGTCTGCCTGGTGTATTGGACAAAAACTGTCCTCTCTTGCATTTCTTAGCAAGTTTTTCAGTGAGTAGATTTTCTTTCCACTCTCACAATGATTGTAACAGGATTTGATTCTCCTGCAGCCAGCTGTTAGCAATTAGCAACTTGATCCATTCAGTCCTGAGAACTGTTTAACACTTTCTTGCCTCTGTGAGAATGTTGCTAATCCTGTTTTTGCTGGGTTCAGGCCTGTCCTGTAATTTTGGCACTTTCTGCGGATGTGTGGGCAAAAATGTGTGGGAATGAAGACACATGCAAAGTAGGGAATCATACTGCGGCTGAAACAGAACTACAGAGAGAAGTGCTCAGTCTTCTACCCAGAGAAAAATCTATATGAAGATCCTCTTCCAAGGCACTTGTGTTTAGTAGTGTTTTTGTATTCCAGTGTGTTCTAGCACTTGAAAGGGCAGTTTGGGAATCAAATTTACCACTAGCTGAGGCTAAGACTTCAGCAGAAACCAACATCAACAGCTCTTCATGCAGAGAATTCCAGTAGTAAGGGCTGATGAGCAGTGCTGCAGTCGTACATTCTTCTAAACCAGGGCAGGAATGAAAAATGGATTCTTAGTGTCCTTGCTCAAGGCACAAACAGCTTTAGTGTTAAAAGACCATAAAGGAAACAATTTGCTTCCTGTGTGTAGCACCTGCCCCCGGACCCTCAGTCCAGGATGAGGGACAAAGCAGCTGCCAGGGTTCCTGCCCAGAGCTAATTGCTGCAGATACTGCTTTACTGGCATGCGTAGAGGTGAAGGTTCATCTCCCCCAGCTGAAGCTGGGGCCAGTCAAAGCCAGGGGCTAGACTGCCCCTAATGGAGAAGAATGTGTCCAGAGAGCACTCATGCTGGCCCATTGCTTCTGCTTGTCCTGTGAAGCTCCATATGCTGATGAGCCTGGGGAGCCCTGGTCATGGCTGATGCTGGCCGAGCGAGCGGCCCCAGGTAGCCACACACTGCACGCGGGGCTCTGGATGCTGCCTCAGAGCCAAGAGCCAACACAATGCCCAGGCATCTGTCTGCCCCACCTTGGCTCCTCTCCTTCTTCCCTCTTGTCTTCTGTATTCTGCTTGCTGTATCCCCTCACATCACTGCACCTGCCTGCCTGGATGGTAAAGCAGTAGGTATGATGTAGAATGTCCTGGTCTTTGCATGAAGTAAACAGGTGCTTAAGTTTCAGTCTTTGGGCTTGGAGCTAGTCAAATGAGAACGCTGTGTGAATGGCCTGTCACTTAATGTGTTGCTGTAAGGTTGAGTCCTGTTGTTGTGGCCTGTGCTTCTTTTTGAGGGGATGAGAGAAACTTGGCATAACAGCTCTTGTGGCCAGAGGCAGAATGGCTGCCCTTAAACTAAGGCTTGTTTTGGTAGCAACCACCTGGGACTTGCGGCCTGCTGTGGTGGTGCCCCAGCACAGCTGGGCACCCTGTACCCCCTGCAGGTGGCTGGTCCTGCTGCCCTGTTAGAGCATCTCCCTCCCTGCCAGGGTTCCCTGATGTCTGAGGTTTGGATCAGACCAAAGTCAAGGCATGTGAACACCTCCAGGGGGTGCTGGGGTTGCTCTGACTTCCTGTGAGAGCCGCAGGAAGCGAGGGCTGCCCAAACACCCATCCTCGTTCGTTTGAGAAGGCCCTGTGGGAGGATGGTCTCCTTTTGTGCCTGCTCTTTGGGAAACCTGCTCCAGGAGCCTCTGGGGGTTCCTCCCAAGTCATATGAACAGACTAACGCCCACCTGGTCCGTCTGCAGCCTGTGCCACCCGAGCATCTGTACAAAATCCTCCTCCATGACTATGCGCAGTAGCTCCGGCTCCATCCAGCTGGACAGTCTCTCATGGGACAACGTTTGCATCAGTTTGTGGCATCTCTTCTCTTTGGAAAGGGGACCAAGACCTTGGGTGCTGGGGGTACCTTGACAGGGCTTGGCTGAAACCTTTTCTTCCAATTGCCAGAAGCTTCTGCTGAGATTTGAGCTGACTTCTCCACAGTGCTTTGCTTTCATGCATCTCCTGCTTGAGATTCAACAGGATCCTGCGGCTCTGCCGGTGTCCCTCTCGCCTGGGCCCAGGAGCTCAAGTCCAGCACAAGGAGTAGCTTAAACAGGAGGGGGCAGCGGGAGCTCTTTCTCCATTGGCTTGTGCCGTCCTACTACTGGATGCAGCGCCCCTGCAGAGCACCACTGATCCCCCGCCGTGTGCGCCTTTGCTTTGCCTCCCGAGAAGGCCCTTGGACCCCCTCTTAAGCTGAGAGCCACTTTTTTGGGAGGAATCCAGCAGGGACAAGGGCCAGTAGCAAATCCTGAGGCAAGAGAATGAACCCCTGGCAGGCCCCAGTGCCTCACACTGCCTTTGTGTCTGGGTGCCTAGCAATCTGTGGCTGGGGAATTTCCTGAGCCAAAGGCTTTATCTCTGGATTTAAGAACCCTGGTGTATCTTTCTATTATGAGTATACCTAATTATTTTGGTATCCACAGCAACCTGTGGCTGTGACTTGTGCAGCTTAATTATGTTGTGGGGGAAAAAGAAAGTCTTTTGTTACAAAGCTGAGTTAATGGCGTGTGGTATTCTTGAAGCGCATTTACACGCTGGCGTAGCAATGGTCTCTTTTCCCCTTTCTTCCCTTGCTAACAACTCCTAACATGCAGTTTGCTTTTTACTACCTCTCTGAGGATTCTTGAGTAAAAAACCTCTGGTCCTGGCAACTTTTTTATTGATTTGTTCTCTTTTCTCCTGACACTTGTACATGAGACAGATCCTCTAACCTGCCTTCTATAAAGCACCATTCCAGGGAGGGAGTCTCCCCGGGCTCATTGCAGTGAACATGGACACACAGAATTCATGGAGCTCTGCTGAGATGACCTCGTGTTCTTCAAGGTGTTAGCATGGCTTTCCAGTGCAATTGCCAGAGTTTAAGCCCTTTGCTATTTTCCTCTTTTCCAAACAGGAAATTAAGTGTACTTGCCTGTGTGAGTGTACATGCTCTTTTGGCAGTGATATGGGCACGTAGGGGGAGATTGTTTTCACCCTGTTTTAGACATTTATCTTGAGATTGGATGAAAATTTCCAGTGTGCCCAATTGCCTACCTGGAGTAGACAGCTAATGCAGATAGAGCTGTGTGTTCAGAGAGATAAGATAAATCCCTTTTTGGGGAGCTGGTGTGAGCCTTGCTTGCTCCGTGGTTCACTGTAGAAGTAGTTTCTGTAGCTCCTAATATAATAAGGAAAGTGAAGATCAAAAGGCAGGGAGATCAATTTACACTGACCTTAAATAAGGGCAGCAGTTGAGTGTGTCTGCACAGCACTCATGGCAGGCAAGCTCCTAAAAGCTGAATTGTGATAATGCTGTTAGAGGCAGCACTGGTAGTCAAACAGGTGCTGACTGAACAGCCTCTGGTCCGAAGAAGGATCAGAGCAGACCTGGGGTCAGGACCCTTTTGAAGGCAAGGAAAGGGGCCTGACCCACCACCACATGCCGCAACACAGTGAGGCTGTGATGTGGAGAAGGACTGGCGTGGGAGGCTTCTCATCTCACCTTTGCTTTTTCTTTCAGAAATGTAGATGGCAGCTGCTGCCTGTGAAGGACTTGCGCCCGTTTGACCCTGCCCAGCGCTCCAGTTGCTACCATGATCCTCTGCATGCTGCTGTTGGCCTCACTGCCCAAGCCGTCTGGCACTGAAGTCAACCCTGGTAGGGAGCTGCCAGCCTGGGAGAAGACTCTCATGTCCCACCTTTCACATGTTCATTCTCAGCCATTTTTTCCCTCTCATGATATAGGATGGTAGTGTTTTCTGCATTTTTTGATTACACACTCACACATGTATATACATACCATAAAAATATACATATATATATATAAAAATATATAAATGTAAATATACGTGCATGTAAATCTAATCACTAACATAGTCCCTAAATGCTCTCCTGTGTGCCCAGACTGCCAGTCTTCCTTGACTGCTGTGGGCCACCTCTCCAGACAGTCCTAGGAGGGCCCAGGCACAAGGAGAAGTTCGTTTTCTTGTGCAACATCCCTATTGCCCTCCCCACTTTTTGATGTGAGAAAGGAGGAGTAAGAGCTGTATTCCATATCTGACGGGCTGGTGTGCCATGGTTTTAGACAGTAGTATAATGGTGTCTTCTGGTTTAGTCTGTATGCATTTCTATAACCAGCTAAAGTTGCTTTTTGATCTCAAAGCAACCTCTCTGGAAGTAGCTAATTCAGTCTTCACTGTGTTGGTATATTTAGGCTGTTCTTCGCATAGTTCTTGTACTTACTGATTCTGCTATTATTTTACTGCATTGTAATACAGAATTTTACTGCAAAGTAGTACAGAATCATGGGATTACTCTTGGTGGTATTTTCCCATATCAATAGCTTGGTGTCATCAGCAAATATTGTCACCTCACCATACATCTCCTTTCCAAGGCACGTTATGAACATATAGAGCACCAGTAGCTGATACTATGTCTGACAATCACAGCAAAATCTTTCTGAAATAATGTGTGGTTACAGGCAGTTTTATATTGAAATTTAACAGCTTGTTCTTCAGATAGTACTGAAAGTGGTAACAAAAAGGTGGATTTCATGTGTCTGCCTTTCATTGTGCCTTCTGAACCTGCTTAACAGCTTTATCAAAGCCAGGCAGTCTTGAAGATGAAAGAATGAGGAGACCCAGGGAGGTGCCTTTGCTGAGGAAAGGGCAGCAAAGCTGCTGCTGTGGCACACACGGTTCGTCAGGGAGGACGTGTGCAGGGGAGATGCCAACCCGTGTGCCCACAGCCCTGGCACCACCGTGGCGTGTGCTGTGTTGTGCCTGTGCTACTGCAGAGACAGGGTGGAGCTGGGGCTGCTGTGTGTTCAGAGGACAAGGACTAAAATTCCTTAAAGTCTTTGCTCTCCAGGACTTTGCTGAATGATATTAGCTGTCTGCATCAACATATTTCATCACTTGCCATTCTAGTTTATAGTAATCATGAAGTATTCTCCCTTTTTTATTTGCTTTCTTTATTTTATCATTGCCCTGCTTATTCCATACCCTGTCAATTAGACTTGTCTGTGATCTAAAAAAGAAACACTGACTCGTTAACCTGCTTTTTCCCATCTTTTAGCCATATGCCGTTATCCTTTGGGCATGCAGGAAGGAACAATACGGGATGAAGATATCACGGCTTCCAGCCAGTGGTATGATTCCACAGGACCTCAGTATGCACGGTAGGTTCATCTCTGGCAAAACTCTAATCCTTTTCTTCTACTTATCTAATATGATTGAAGATAAAACTCTTCTTTAGGCTCACTCACAAAGAAACCCCTTTGCTTAGCTTGGTCACCACTTCCATAGCAGACCTAAATAAATGCACAGGGACAGGCCGAGGGCGATGGTCGTGGTCACAGGTTGCAACACAGGCAATATCAACTTGATAAACAGAACAAAAAAAAAAAAAAAAAAAAAAAAAAACCCCAACCCTTCCAGTGAGAAGGAAGGGCTGCAGCTTACAAGTTTCCTGAGAGGTGATGACTCTCCATCCCTGGAGCTCTTCAAGATGTGGGTGGTTGGATAAGTTCTTGAGGAAGCCAATATAGCTTTGAAGTTAGCCCAGCTGTGAGCAGGAGATTGAGCTAGAGACCTCCAGAGGCACCTCCACCTTGTTCTTTCTGTTGCTCTATAGCCACTTCTAATGGGTTTGTGACTTACAGGGCAAGTAGGGTCAGTGCCTTCGAAACTCTTGCTAGAGCACATGAGACTTTGAATCATAGAAAGTCGTTTAGGCTATTGGATTTTTCAACAGCATCATAACGAAGATATGTGCTGTGTGCACAAATTAATTCAAAATTTCTGAATTCTTTGGCTGCTTTGAATACAATTGCCCTGACCTGATGGTACTGACTGCTGGTCTCAGTGGTGTTCTGCATCACTTAGATGCATTGGCTTTTTACGGAACTGATGACAAGTGTTTCCCCCCGTCATGGAGTTTTCCTTTGCCCCTAGTTAGAAGTAAGGAAAATTAAATGCTCCTAATTAAGCTTTTCTATTGTATTCATTATAGCATTGTTACAGGAAATGGTGTCACCAAATTTTTATTCTGATCAGAGTTTATTCTGTTAGTTTAAAAGCTAACATTGTATTTTGCAAACTAGAACATACAGAGTTAGGGGGTTGTTACTAAGCAGCTGCAGTATTTTCTTTTAGAGTCAAGAAATTATCCTTTTTCAGTAGTTTGACTTTGTTCTTTTGTTTCACTTCTTTCAAAGCTGCAGACTGATTTACGAAATATCTCCAAATGTGAGTTTCTTATAGTTGTTTGTAATGATGATATCAAACATTCCTAAATTTTCTATGCAAATTAGATGTGCATTACAGGTTAATTTTGATGGTTCTATTTATTCCAACACTTTGGGCAGTCCAAAATTATGAAATTCTCCTCATGTTTGCTTTTTTCCTTACTCTGTGGTAGAGTAAAGATGCTAAATGTTGTGTGTTTTGGCAAAGTTTGCCCAAGCCTGTGGGTCTGAAAGCTGGGGCTGTGTTTTGTTCTGAGGGATGGCTGCTTCTGAATTCTGCAAATATCTGGGTTGTCACTTGCCAGCTGTTACCATCATCCTTTTTTTGCTAAGGCAGCTGGAGGTCCGCAGGCAGCACACACCAAGGGACACCCCTCTAGCTGCCTTCACTTTATTGGAGGTCATGGCTTTCCTGTGCAGATGCTGCCTGTCCGTGGCACTTCCCACTGCCCTTCACAGCTTTCTTGTTTTACTTGCCACGATGCTGTACAAGCCTCATACAAACAGCAGGGACCTGACTGAGCTGAGATGAACTCCAGTTTCTACCCTGTACCTTGACCTTCTGTGTCTCCTTCGGGCTACTTCCTTCCTTGATAGGAGACTTGGCAGCACTTGCCATTCCCACTAATTGGAGTAAGGAGGGCTGCTGGAAAGAAAAGGACATTTCAAGGGCTTGTTCCTTTCTGGGAAATCTCTGCTGCTTTAAAGCTCACATGGGCTTATCGTGTCCAGATTTTTTTTTCTGCGTTTAAAACTACTTTCACCACCTTGTGGCTTACAGAGCTGGTCTAGGAATGCTTAGGTAACTCCCTCTTTCCTTCAGTGGCTCCATCTGCTGATTGTTAGAGCAGTTGACATGAACTCTCCAAGGCAAAAAGGTTGAATCTTTGCAACTAGTGCTACAGTGCTCAACTCGAAGCAGAGAGATTCTCATCAAACACTTAACGGTGTCTTGATGAGCACTTGGGGTCAATGAAGAAAATGTGTGGATCATGTCAACACAACTTGCGCTGGTTTGTGGAGCAGAGCTTTGCTTCTAAAATCTGTTATAAGGTAGCTCCTGTGTGTGTGTGTAATAGCTATAAAAGAGGCTGAGCAGAGACTCAGGCATTCATGTGCTGGGGACATAGGTAAAGTGACAATGTGCTTTCCAGGTCACGTGCTAAAAACAGTCAATACACAATTTCCTACAGACTAATATAGTTGCTTACAAGGCAGCACTAAAGTATTGGCTCTGAGAAAAAGATAACAGTAGTTGATGGTAATAGTTGATGAGAAATATCCAAGACACAGTGACTGTGTAAAAGGCAAAAATTGGCTACAGGTATCTTGGGTAAGTGTCTACAGATCATCACTCAGAAAAGGAGTTTTCGTAGCCAACTGCCAGGGCTCACTTGCTAATTTATTTTCTTTTTATGCATATTTGCAGTTTCAAGGGGACTCTTCTGTTAGTGGGAAGGCTGTATCCTCGAGAGGAAAGTGGGGTTTCTTGTTTTTTTAGTATGTTTTTCCCCTCAGGTTACAAAGGGAAGAAGGGGATGGAGCATGGTGCCCAGCTGGCTTGTTGCAGCCGGAAGATGTGCAGTTCCTCCAAATGGACCTACACAAGCTCTTTTTCATCACCCTGATTGGGACGCAGGGACGGCATGCCCGTGCCACAGGCAAGGAATTTGCTCGGGCTTACCGGATTGACTACAGCCGCAATGGAGAGCGCTGGATCTCCTGGAAAGACCGTCAAGGCAGGCAGGTGAGCGCAGCAGGAGCTGAGCCACGGAGCACGCAGAAGCCCAGGAAAGTCATAGGGAATTAAACTGCAGAAGGTGCATCCTTTCTTTGCCTACCTGCTGCCTAGTGCTTCTTGCTCTCTGATTCCTCCCTGTCAGGGGTTCAACATCCTCTGCCTTAGTCCTGTACTTGCTGGGGCTATTATTCCCTTGAGCTGATTCCCCAAATCCTTGCTTTTGCCTTGACCTAAAATAGTTGCTCTTTAGTACCTTTCTGTATGTAGTCAAAACACTTGGAAATGCACTGGGATTGTCCCACTACCAGCCTGGGACTTGCTTCTGAATTGAAAGCTGCAAAGCAGACTTCACGGCCTGTGTCTGTTTTAGAGCATTAACTACTCTGGGATCTGGCATGCCTGCCTTGTGTTGGTGTCTCTTTTTAAGAGGAGGGACATGGAAAGGGGATGAGGTTTTGGATATCTGATAGTGGCGTTAAATTTAGTTTAATTTAGAGGATGGAGGAGCTCAGAGGGTTGGAAACATGCTGAGCGCCCACCCACAGAGGCTTCCCTGCTCTGCTGCAGTTATTTCTGACTCCCTCCAGACTAAAGTATGCAGTGCTCCCCTAGCTGCCCTCTGCTCATGTTCACAAGCCTTTCTTAAACCTCCCTGGAAGGGAGTTTTCTCCCATCTGCAGTTGGTATGAGCTGATCCTTCTGTCTCAGGCCTAAGCCAGAATCTATCCCTCGGTAGCCAGCCAGTGCCATGGAGTTCTGTAGCACCGAGGGCGCTTGGCAAGTCACAGTGTGGTCTGTAATGCTAGAAACAGTTTAGGTAATAACTTACAGTTTGCTAATGAGTGGCTTGTTCACGCAGACCTTGAATTTGCTGCTTGGCCTGTTTGTATCTTGCCTGTCCCTCAGACCGTGCCAGCAAACACTGCGTTTGCAGGGTGCGAGAGGAAGCGTGACCTTAGTGCTGCTTCACTGGTGCTTTCCTGGGTGCAGACTGCCTGCATCTTCGCAGTTACTGCAGAACTGAACGGAGCCCTGGCCCCAAACAGATAACCCCCCTTCTCCATGGTCCCAGGCTCATGCTACGCAGTTATCAGGCCACTGAAGTGTGTTTGATATCAGTGTTATCATTAGTGCCCCGGCTCCATTTCTGTAAGATCTCCCTCTTGGGTTACAGCGAGGTATGAGGGTGTATTCAGGCACCCCTGCTCTTCTGTGAGCGAGTCCACGTGTGTGTTCTGGCAGTGTGTGTACATGTTTGCTGTTATGACGCCAAAAAAAAATGACCACCTGGTATCTTTAGAGAACATGGTCCTGTTCTTGTTCGGGACACAGCGTACCTAGTGGCATATGTGATTCCTGCCCTTTCAGCTTCTCTGAAAAATGACTGTGTCTACAGCATACTCTTCTCAACATGTGTCACTAGTAAAGGTCACATTCAGTTAGTGAATGCATGTTTCAAAAGCACGATTACTCTGTCAAATCATTCCTAAAATGCCCTACGAAATTATTCAAGCTTTGGTGCAAATGTTGGTGCAAGATTCAGATTTTTTTTTACGAAGACTTCAAGTCTTGCAGTTGATATATCTGCAGTCTGGACTCGCACTGTGGTATGTCCCTGTCTAGGTGGGTCACACAAATGGCTTCAGCCAAGAAGGTCTGTTTGCTTTGCTGCTAAGTTTCAGATCTCATTGGCTTGTGAGGCCATCAGGCAGATGGGACATGTACCAGGACCACACCAGGAAAGTCAACTCTAGCTTTGATGCATTTGGTAAAGGCAGAGAATCAAGCTGTTGTCCCTGTGTCTCTCACTGCCTCAGGATGGTGCTGTCTTTGATGGATCAGGCCCTTAATATTAGAAGTCTTTTTATTTTGTTTCTGTGGGTTCAGACTCTTTCAAAAAATCCCTTAGAATTTTTGAGCCCTTCTCCGAGGAGTTGACAGCTACAGCTGTTGCCGTACAGTGACTGTCAAAGCAGAATGTGGGACTTCCTAGAACAGTGATCCAACAGAGGAGGAGTGGATGAAGCTGTCTGGCAGAGTAGACAGCACTTTGCCAGAATGGAGCACTTGGGTAATGTGGAATATTTCAGTTCAAGGCATCTGCTCTGCAGCTACTTGGACCTTCATCCATGAAATGCTGCCCCAACTCTTGGCATTTTGTTGGCTTGTGTAGTATTTCATAGAAAAAGGACATCAAGACCCTCCTCAGGTAACTGGTGATAAGGGCAAGTGCCAGGCATGGACTGTTGTTAGAACGTGCATGTAGACTTCTTTGAAAGAGGGTTGTGATCAGTAACTGTGCATGTAGTCCAAGTGCACACTTGTCTTCCAGCTGCCCCCCTTCTCCCTCTTGAGGTCCTTCCTGGCACCTGTTTGCAGTGGTCGGGAAGAGCAGGCAGCCTTTACCTCCTAAGCTGGGCACCGGCTCGGAGGAGGGGAGCAGCAGCTGCAGATGCAGCATGGGGAAACTCACGAGTCTCAAATGATGGGTTGCAAGTTAACTCCTGCACAAGAACCGTACAGCAGGAAGTTTATCCCTTTTCTAGGTGATCCAAGGCAACATCAATACTTATGACGTGGTCTTAAAAGATCTTCGGCCTCCCATCATTGCTCGTTTCATCCGGGTGATTCCTGTGACAGAGTTGCCAATGACTGTCTGTATGAGAGTGGAGCTCTATGGCTGTGTCTGGTATGGTAAGTAATGATTTTCATGCCTGGGATTGAAAAGTAGCCTTTGAACAGTACTGACTGGGACTCCTCAGCATCCTCATACATGAGAGAGATTTCCAGGCTTACAGAATTGCTTCTGGTGGTCGATATCATAAATAGAAGTCATGGGGGCGGGGATGGTGGAGGGCTGCTGCGGCTGTTTGACGGGCGTGACTTTCCTCTTTTCAGATGGTTTGGCATCCTATAGCATCCCTGAAGGAGGGATGATAGCGGCTCCTGGCTTCCCCATCGTTTATCTGAATGACTCAACCTACGATGGCTACCATGAGCGCAGGTGGGAGAAGTTGTCCTGTTCTCTTATCACTGTGCAAACTGCCTCCTCTTTGTTACTTACCCTGCCATTAGTATGCTGCATCCTAAACAGTTCTGAAGGCCTAGCTCCATGCTAGCCTTCTAGCTCTCCAGAGCATTTGAGTGGCTTGGTGGTTCCAGACCCTTTGTGTTGTCAGTTGTCCTGAAGAGGGGCACAAACTCGTTATTCATCCCATGCTAGCTGGTGAAGATGACCCGGAAGCAAATTATTTATCTCTTATTGGAAGTCTTTGGAGCTTCTCTTCAAACAGAAGGATCTGTCATTATACAGCTAAGCACTGTCTTAGCTCATGGCTTCCCGTCTGTGCATGGTGTAATGAGATAGTTCTGATACGTCTTAAAGCCCTCATCATGCTTGGTCTCTACTGTGCCCTTACTCATTGCACTGGTTTCACTGCTGATCGCGTATAGCCTTATGATCTGCAGTATTAACAACAGCTTAAAGTGCTACTATTCCTTTGTTGCCCAAAATCAGAGTGGGAGCTGGACCTGCTACTTGCACAACCACAGTGTCTTTGCACAGCAGAAGGTCTTTTCCCTCTTCATTGCCTTGGCTTCTGGAGTTTGATATTCTGGAGGCATTCTCCAGCAGACTGCATCTTAAACTGTTGCATATCTCCAGGGTAAATTGGGCATCTGAGAAAGTATGCAGCACCTGAACCTCAGGCCTGCGCTTGGTACCTGTGAGCTGCTGGGCAGATGTGAGACACTGGTTTTGAAAACAAAGCCCCGAGGGACTCAAACAGCTTGGAAAGTTGCTGCAGTCCCTGTGAGTCGCTGTGAGTCAGTGGAGACACCGCTGCCAATGTGGCATCAGAGGAAGGTGGCTGATTTCTCTCTGTAAAGATTTCTTGCGTATGATGCTTTTCTAGTTTGGAGTCAAAAACCCCAGGATCTTCAGATTTTACAAATTTTGCCATTGCAAGGCATGCTAGTATTTCAAATCACTGAGCTAAATTAGGAAATTTGTTCACATTTTGAGGTCTGTGGTTTATTGTATGACTTCCTTGCAAAACAGTTCATTAAGAGTTTAAATCTGAAATGTTAAATAACTGCTCTTTCAGAGCTGAGCACTTTGCTATAAGTACAGATTTGAATATGTTTAAATGGCTTGAAATGTTGAGCAAATTTAGGCACAGGCCTCTTCTTGAGCCAGCAGACCCCAGCTTGTGCAGGAAGGTGCCTGAGAAGCAGCCTGCTGGCACCCATGGAGCTAAGGTGCTTCTATTGAATGTTCCCCTTCCTGAATTTTTCCTGATGCCTAAAATTCCTCATACTTCAAGGTGTGGGTGTTTTAAAATGCTACTTCTGTTCTGCTATGCTGGAGTCAAAAATATGATCGGGGAAGGCAGTTGGAATACCTTCTTTATTGTTATAGGGATGTTATAAGATACTAGGTATTTAGGTCTTGGTAGAATAACATCTGGTTACAGCTTTCAGGCTGTATTGATATATTCAAGATTGAATAGGGAACCTGGTCTTTGAGTTTCACCCAGAGGTTTTTTCCAGTTACAGAAAAAACTTTTAAAAGAAGGTATTTAGAAATCCACTATTGATGTCATGAGAGCAAAATGCCTTTTGAGTCACAACTTATGTTTTAGAGAGTCACGTGCAGATGTAGGAGGCAAGTACTTTGCTTAGTGATTGAGCCCTAAGCAGCCAACTTTGCGGCAGCACCACAAAGCCCAAGGGGTTGAGCAAGGAGCCCTTCAGACCACCTAAAGCACAGGTCAAGCACCTGGCTGGCTGGAGGCAGGAGTCTGTGAATCCTGTTGGGAGTTCGCAAGACCAGCAGGCTAGCAAAGATCCCAGTGGTAGGAGGGCTTCTTCGGAACGGACTTGGGGACCTTTGAAGCATGTACCAGCAATCCAGACTAATTAAATCCTAATTAAATGAAAGAGGTCCAGAAAGCAAGCTCAGGCATTGACAGTGCTGCTAGCACTCCCTGCTGCAAGACAAGAGAATGTGCCAGGCCGGGCTCCCAAAAGGCAGTTGAGTCAGGAACGTACCACGTGTAGCCTCTCCTGCTCCGTCCAGTCTTCCAGCGCTGTCCCAGCTGGCTCTGTGCGCTCAACATGGAGCCAGGCAGAGTCCTGGGAGAAGAATCTCCTCAGCCCTGTGGCTGGTAACATGCTGAGCAAGAAGCAGTGTCAGAAATAACCCCGGAGAGAACTGGCCGTGTCTGCCGGCCACGGCCTCCCGCTGCCTCCTGCACAGCTTCCTGTCCTGCCTGCAGAACTCTCCCCCTTGTCCTCGCGGGGCAGTGTTGCTCCCATGCAGCTCCATGGTCAAATGTTTCACTTAAAGCTTTCTCTTAGGAGAACCCAAAGTGTCTTCTCTGGAGCCTTCACTTTCATTCTCAAGAGGATCTATTTATTGCTAGATTTTTGTGGCTAGTGTGACACAAATGCAAATACTTTGCCTTTTGCAAAGCAGGGGAAGGTCTTCACAGTTCAGTTTGAATAAAAAGGAGGTGATGCTGTACAGTAACAAGGAATGAGTTCTTGTCCAGGATGGGTTAAGAACAATTAAACTAATGATTTCTTGATACCAGCTGGAAGACTTAAGTGCCCTCACACTCCAGAGGGTCGGGGAGCCTGAGTTTTCTCCTAGCTGGTGTTCCTGTATAACTCTTAGCTCTCTCTTGCCCAGGCACTTGTATGGAGGCCTGGGCCAGCTGACGGATGGCGTGCTGGGGCTGGACGACTTCACGCAGAGCCACCAGTACCGTGTGTGGCCAGGCTATGACTACGTTGGCTGGAAAAATGAGAGTTTCAGCACAGGCGCTGTCGAAATGGAGTTTCAGTTTGACCGGCCGAGGAACTTCACCTCCATGAAGGTATCCAGGTCCTCCCACTCTGAGTGCCTAGGGTGGGCTTTGGGTCTAGGGGCTTCCAAATTGCCTCCCTAGGCTCTCTCCCCAAAGCACAAGCCTATCAGAGGCAGGATTTGAGCAGGAAGTAACTCAGGTTTGCCCATGCAGAAAGCTGGGACAGGGGAGCACTTGTGTCTCCAGAGCTCAGATGTTTTCCTTCCATCATTTAGCTTAAATGACCAAGGACTAAAAAGCTGACACCTGGGGCAGTGCTCAGGCAAAGCCTGTTGACAACAAGAATGAGTTCAGGATGTTGGCTGCTTTCTACAGGCCTTACCTGACCCTTGCGGCAGGAAAACGTGATTGTGCTTCCATTTTTTTGACCAAAAACTACTCTAGATGCTTAAATCTGTGCTTGTGCTGTGGGAAACTACTTAATCATGAAGGAAAAAGATGAACAAAACATTTAGAATCTGTAGTAAAGAGCAGAATCTTTTTAAAAGTAGCAGTGGCTTTTCTTGTAAAGATTTCAAATGAAGGAGAACCCACCACATCCTTAAGTAAATTGTTTTGGTGGTTACTTACCCTGGTTTTATTTTGTCTATTTTTAGCTTGCAGCTGTTGGCTCTTTGCCTCCTTTTTCTGGCAAAAAATTGAGTCCTGCCTTCTCAGAAATTTTCTTGTTTCTATATTATGATTAAATCACTTTCTTAATCTCTGCTTCAGTAAACTAAATTGGCTGAGCTTCTTAATTCCTGCACTGTGAGAGCTGGGATTATTTGTCCTGTTCTCTTCCAGTCTTTTTCCTTGCTTGCCAGTTCTCTTTTGGAGGTGTAGAGGGTGGAATTGGGTGAAGGCTTTCCACCAAACTGCACAGACAAATGGTACTGATTTTCTGCTTTTGTTTATGAATCCTGTGATCACATTTTGCTTTTTTTCCTGAAGTATAGGAGCCAATGTTTGCTTGACTTCTAGCACAGTACGACGATCTTATCCCAGAAAACAATTACTTTTGGATAAAAGTCCAATCCAGAAAGCCTGATTTACATTTTGTTGCTAAATTAAATACCTCTAAATGAGTCAGTCAGGACCCAGCTCACTGCTCAGTTCACATTAGTTAAAAAATTGCCATTTCTGATTGGTGGTGGTGGTTGTTGGTTTTAAATTCTATTTCTAGTGATTTTTACTCTCTCTGGGTCCCTAAGAAAGATAGGGAATAGCCTTGGGCTAGGAACATGTTCCTGCTAGAGGAACAAGCCTACTGAAGAATGATGCCTTATTTAAGTTTGGCACGTCTTAATCAAATTATGTAATTCATGAGTTTGTATTGTTAGCTGGAGTTGCTTGTTATGAGAGTAAATCAAATGTATAAAAATCTGTCATGTACATGGAGCCATCCTGATCAACCAAATACATAAGCTTGTAGAAATAGCAACTTTAGTATTTCATAATACTGCTCTGATTAGCATAAATTATTCTCCATTTTTAATTCAGTGTATACTGTATCACCTTTACATTCGTATCAAATAAGCTAGCTGATAAACACTGTGATACATATGTTACTTAATGCTAGTACCAGTTGGTTTACTCCAGTCCTTTGAACTCTCCCAATATACAAGGGAATATTAAAAATAAATGTTACCAAATTTTGCAGGTATGCTGCGGATTACTCAGGCCTGCCTAGTGTAGAGTTGGACATTGGTAGGTGTTGCTTAGCAGCACACTCGTCATAGTTGGAATAGAAAGAATTCCCATATCCCTCCAGGATGGGAACAGATGCAACCTCTGTCCAGCTCTGGCACAGGCTGCACTGCAGGCGTCAGACACTCCTGCCTCGCCTTGGGTGACTCTGCCTCTTCTTGGATAATGTTGTCTAGGTTTTCTCTGTGCCTGGTTATACCCAAATACCCTTGTTTTGTCTCTTGCCTGCCCATCGGGCCTGCTGTCCTCATTACCGCCTCGCTCCTATTCACTGCCAGATGTCACAGGGATGAAGCAGTTGGAGCAATTAAGGTTCACAGCGCGCTCGGGGCGGAAGCTCCCACTGCTCTTGGTGCTGCGCAGTCATTTGGAAGTGATTCCTGGAGCCTGCTGGAGGCTCAGACCACCAGGGCTGTGGAGATGGAGGGCAGCCTGGGAGGAACCCTGTGGACACCGAGGGCCACTTTATTCCTTTTATATTGTTCCTGGCACTTGTGCTGTGGTCCGGATCTTCAGTCTTACATGACAGAATCGAAACCGTCATGTTAAAAATAAAAATATGAACCCAAGGATGATATTTGTATTAAAGCAAGATAGCCAGGTTGATAAGGGATCCTTATGAGCCTCATTACTTTGTGAAGCCCCTTTGCTGTAGGTCTGGTTGGGTGCTGTGTCTTGGTGCTGATGGGTGGTGGAGGAGCCCGAGATCCCCTGTCTCTCTTGCTGGAGCCTCTTGGCCTGGGTGCAGCCCAAGAGCAGGAGGGGGAAAGTTGCTACTGGAAATGAGCAGCATGCGAGGTGCCTGGTGTGGGGCTGTGCGCGGGGCCCTGCGTTAGCGAGCGCGGCGGCAGGGCAGCCATGAGGGGCTGTGCTGCGGGGTTGGTAGCACCGCTGACCATGGGGATCCCCCCCAGGTGCTGAGCCACCAGGAGAGGCCGTGGAGGCGGCGGCGTGAGGGCAGCACAGAGCCCGCGCCACCCTGGGGACACAGCCGCGCTAGTGCCACATGGCTGTGGAGCAGCTTCTCTGCCTTACACTGCTGGGGAGTTTTTTGAAGGAAATGGAGTTTGTTGCAGCTGCTGCAGGCTTTCTAAAAGAGGCTATAGAGCCCAGATACAGTTTTTGTCCCCTCTTTGGACATACATCCAAGGAGAGTTGTTCTCTGAGGCTTTAGGTTTAATACAGGTTTGGAGGCTTGGCACTGGTGGTTGTTGTTGTTGTCTTTTGTTGGGTCTCTTGGGAAGCTTGCCAAGACTTGACTGTTAATTTAGTTTTTGCATGTGAAGCTAACAGCTGTTTCAAAGTCACTTCTTGCATGGACATTCCCACTCCAGAATAAGGGTTTGTACTGGAACAAGTCAGTCATGCTGATTTAAGGATATTCCTACAGACAGCTGTTAAAGAGTTTCGTGAACAGAAAATCACTAACCCTTGAATCTTGGTTTCGATAAATCTTCCTCTCTGGTTGGTGTGTTTCTAGGTGCACTGTAACAACATGTTTTCCAAGGGAGTGAAGATCTTCCAGAAGGTGGAGTGCCTGTTCAAACCACGCCTGATTGCGGACTGGGAGCCCGAGCCGGTTGGAGTGGCAACAGTCTTGGATGACAAGAACCCCAGTGCGAGGTTTGTGACTGTCCCCCTCAATCAGCGCGTGGGTAAAGCCATACTCTGCCGCTTCTCCTTCGCCGACTCCTGGATGATGATGAGTGAGATCTCCTTCCAGTCTGGTGAGTGTTCCTGGTTGAGGAGGTCCAGGGAAGCCCGGGGAGCAAAGTGATGGTGTAGAGGTGCTGGGTGTGTTCAGGGAGCAATGTAGGGCAGCATGGGGCTACCCAAAGGGGGAGCATTAGGTAGTACTGAGTGCCCTGCGAGGAGTCAGAGGGTGATAGGGAAGCCTAAGATAGTTGGGAGGCTGCAGGATGCTGTGGGGATAGGGAAGGCAACCTGGGGTGCAAATCAGGGGCATGGTTAAGGGAATGGTGTGGCCCATTCGTGTGACAAAAGGTAGGCCAAGTGGTGTGGTGCTGGGCAGGGTTGGGAGGGCAATGCAGAAGCAGAAAGGGCCAGATGTGCTGGGAAGATGTTCAAGCTGTGACTGATGCAGGAGTGCAGCAGCAGAACCAGGGAAACTAGAAATGGGATTATCAGGTAGTTCTTTTGAGAAAGTTGCTTGCTGCTTATTAGGGTGGCTTTGAGCCTTAGCTGTAAGGTGAAAGTAGGTGGGGTGGTTGGGAAGGCCCTGGGGGGCTCAGTCTTGGAAAGAAAACAGCTACTGAGAGCAAAATGCAGTGCTTTAGGTACAGCCTCTCACTCGGGAGACCCTAAGCAGCTCTAATGAGGGGACAGTCCAGGAAGTTTGCGGCTCGTTTCTGCCTTGCTGGTAGCAGCCCCTCCTGGCCCCCTTCCTGGCAGACGTGCGCCCGGGCAGGCTGCTAGTCTGACCCGGGATGACGGTTCTCAGGCTCATGCCAAAAACGAGGCAAAGCTCCTGTCCCGGCTGTTCCTGTGGCTGGCCGAGCTCTGGGAAGAGCCCTGCAGGGATGGGGAGGGGGGTACCGGGCACCGGAGCGAGAGGCTGTGGAGCCCTCACTGCCTGGCTGGAGCTCAGGGAGGCGCCGCCGGAGTAGATATGGAGAGCGTCAATCCCATTATGGTGACCGTAGCCCCAAGCACAACGGAACCTCTGGAAGTGGAATACAATGTCACCGAGGGGACCTGGGGTAAGGATTTCTGTCACTTAGCCAAAGCTTCAAGTACCAGGTAATTTCCCCTTGCCACCCTGGTTAACATGGTCTGTCCTTGTCTTTCTGGAGATCTGGGTATAGTCTGGTTGTTGCCCTTGTACCCAGGGCTGCATTTTAGTTTTCTGAGCTTCAGCTGGCTGCTTTGGAGCAGGGCAGCTGAACACAAAAGTGCAGCTGCTGACTGAAAATGTTCTGCTGGGTGGTGTTGTCTCCTTTAACACAAATCCAGCCAAGGAATCATTTCCTGTGCTAAGAATGGTGGTTAGCTGCAGAAGTCCTCTGCACAGCTCTTAGCTCTGAACCTCCAAAATGAGAATTTTTGATTAAAGTATGAACACAACTAATGCTAATACTTGGGAAGCTGCTTAAGATGTTTTTAGCACCAGACTGTAGAAAGGAACATGGTCTCATGGAATTTGGCCAGTGCATAGAACAACTTGTGCTTTGTTGATCAGATTCTTAACTCCTCTGTGATTGCAGAAACTACGTCCTCTGTAACCAGCACCTGGATAGGAGAGAAAGCAGATGACTCTAAAACTTCCATCCTTGTGGGCTGCCTTGTGGCTATTATTCTTCTGCTCCTGATGATTATAATCATTATTCTTTGGAAGCAGTATGTTCAAAAAAGGTTGGAAAAGGTAATACAATGGAGCTGTTTGCCAGTTTAGAATTAAGTGTTAACCCTAGTGAACTCTGAGTTATGTGGAAAGCATGGGGCCTCACCTGTTCTGTCCTGTAGCTAAAACCCTGTTTCTAGGGACACAGGCCCTACCCAAGATGTTACTGGAAATGGTTGCAGCTGACACATCACTCAACCTAGCATCAGCTCAGCAGTTTTTGCTTTTTCCCAAGGCCCCACGCCGAATCCTGGAGGAGGATGCCACAGTTCGTCTCTCCTTCTACAGCTACACCATTGCCAACAACCAGACCCAGATTCACCAGTCAAATCCCACATATGAGCGTGCTTTCCCCCTGGACTTGGAATATCACCAGCCAGCAACACTACTCCACAAGCTTCCAGAGCTCTCGCAAAGTGCAGAGGATTCAGGTAATATAATCACCCGCCTCCACAAGTTATTTATTCCTCTTATCATCAATATCTTTTTTTCCCTAATCTTCTCTCTCTAACTTTGGTATTTGAGATGGGTATTCTGGAGCCGTGACATTTTAGCACATAGCTATGGCAGATGGTGCAGCAGTCTCAATACACAGCCTTTTATTGTTCTTCTTGAAGACTCTGTGTGTGTGTGTGTTAGCTAGGTCATCTGTTAGCAGCTGCTTTTAGCAATCACAGCAGCAAGTCATCAGGGGTGTTGCTGCCTGAGGCTCTCCAGGACAATCCAGGGAGGTTCATGGAAGAAATTCCTTTAGCACCTCTTCTTGCAGGAATAGCTCTTTGAAATACTCTCAGGAAGGAAGCAGAGGCGTATTTGACAGAATTGTCCATGGTGCATTGGCTCCTGCGACCCCCTGGGAAGTTTTTGGAAGTTTTCCTTCCTGTGTGCATCCAACAGGCTTTTGTACTCAGTGATGGCATTGCTACTTCAGTGAATAGAAGGGCAGTATCTCTCTCTTGTAGCACAGATGGGCTGTTAAGTTATTCTGAGCAGGGAAGCTGATTTGGATGGAGTCAGGCAAGCTTGAAGCAAAATGAATGTTCTGTGTCATACTGACCATACAGGGGAATTAATTATAAAGAGTAATTACATAGTGTTTATGTGAATAAGCTGTAATAGGTAGGGTAAAGTTATAATAGAGTACTCAGAAAATGCAGACTTTATTCAGTTCATTTTGCAGAGGGAGATTCACAGCAAACTTGCCATTTCAAGCAACATTCCTTGCCTCAAGTAAGAGGTATTTAGGGTGAATGAGAAACAGAAAATCACATGCAACACAGACCTGTGTGTCTGGGCGGGAGTTGTAGCTCCTGGTAACTGGGAGAGCGGAGGCTGGGTAACACAGGGTCTGCAGGAGAGGTTTGTTGGGTTTTAAGCCTCTGTTAAAGCATCGTCCTCATCTAGATGTCCAGTGCTGCTGGTAGAAGGTATCATGTGCAGCCAGGCTGAGTCTCTCTAACTGGGCTGTAGTTATGGAGAGGAATGGGAGCTCAGCCGTGCTGCTCTGCGGGAAGCAGGAGCGTTCAACTTCAGCTGTCTCTGGTTTCCCCTCAGTGTGCAGTGGGGACTATGCTGAGCCTGACCTGACCAAGTCCACTCCTCACCAAGGCTTCCAGAACAACGTTCCTCACTATGCTGAAACAGATATTGTCCACTTGCAAGGTGTGACAGGCAACAACATGTATGCGGTGCCAGCCCTCACAGTGGATTCACTCACCAAAAAGGACATCTCAGTAGGTGAATTCCCACGGCAGCAGCTACGACTCAAAGAGAAGCTGGGAGAAGGGCAGTTTGGTGAGGTACAGCCATTCTTTTCCACACATCTTCAGTAGAACACCTGGCAGAGCAAATCTGAGCTGCTGGTTGGGTACTGCCTCCCATTTAGGGCCTGGGGGACCTACATGTCAGTGTTTTGATACTTACCTTTGCATTTGGGGAAAGCCAGCATCCTATAATGTTAGACTTCAGAGAGTCATTCTGCGCTCATGAGCTGGCTGCTTGGTGCCACAGAAGTCTTTTCCAACAATCCATGAATTTTTTTAGCTGTTTGCTCTCTGCATCCCTGTTTATGACCCTATAGAAAGTCTGAGTTGTGAATTCAGACTGTTCCATGCTTTTTCTTGGAAGTCCTGGACTTCTGGTGTCTCTTGCATTCAGATTATGCCCCCTTAAGCATGTGAGTGGGAAAGGTCTGGTAGCAACTCTGGCCAAGGCAGATTCAGCCTACCTCTACATGTAGGTTGTGCATTAAGAGGTGGAGGGTCTGGCTGGCCTCTGCACAGGCCCTGGGCCAGCATGGACGTTTCCCAGGTGTTGCCGTGTCCTTGTGTTTCCTGGTACGGCTGCCTGCTTGACCCATGGCTTGTGCTGAAGCCTCGGGCATGTGGGCCATACAGCTGGCTCCTCTGCCGAGCTCTCGCTCCCTGAGCTCCTCTGGGGCTGAGAACTTGTCTGTCCTTTTCTTCTCTCCCTACTTTATTGCAGTGCCATCCCTAGTTTCCTACAGAGCCAGATCTCACTCGTGCCCAACTCTTCCAGGGTCTCTGTCTCTCCACCCTCCCCAGCTTTTGCTCCCCCGAAGACTTAAATTCTGCCCTTCTGTCATCTTTGGCAAAGCATAGCCCTTTACTGCTCCCTCATTCTTGGCCATGGTGTGCCTGTCTCTGTGTTCCTTCCCGTTGACCACACACACTCTCTCTCCTTTCCCCACTTATGTCTTTTTTGGTCTCTGAGTATTAGAAAGCTGGTGATGTCCTTTACCATCATCCATGGCTGTCGGAGCAGCCTGTTCTGCTGTGGCCTGGATTCTGCCCCTGTCCTGGGTTGTGCTCCAACTGTAAAACTTTTTTTTTTTCCCCCTCACTGTTTTGCTTCTGGTTTCCCCTTCCCACTCTCTCCTTTTCTTTATAATAACCGTCAAGAGTTCTTCCTCCTCCCCCTTTTGCTGTCGAACAGCAGTAGCTTGTTCCTTTCTTCACATCACAAGCTCTTTCCCCCATCATTGCAAATGTGCTGAGCTGCCTGCTTTCTCCTTGCCTCTGCAGGCTTTGCCAGACTGGGTCATCACCAAATGCCCTGCTCCAGCAGTGTGGCTTGGTGTTCTGTCTTGCTTCTAGCAACATGGCTCATTTTTGCTCTCTTCACTTTCAAGCAAATCTTTTCTGCTCCTATCCACCCACTTCCTGGACTCAGTGACACACTGCTTTCATTTACACTTTATGCTCTTAATACCATGGCTCTTTCCTATGCCAAGTTTGTACAGACAGTCTCTGCTTGACTTTGCTGGATCTTCTGAATGACAGAAGAACAAGTCTGACCATGCTTTCGCCATAGCAGACTTCATAAAAAGCAGAAGCCTCTTCATACTTTTGTTCTTTATGTAGCTTTGCCCCACTTTGTGTTGTCTCCTTCTCCTCCCTGTGCTTGTTGTGTAAGCTGGTGATCGTGGCTACATATAAAGTGCATTAAGCTCCCAGTGTGTTATCCTGCTGCACATCTTCCTGGTACTGATGTATCCAGTCTGCTCACCTCTGTTCCCTTTTCCAAAGCCACATGCTCAGGTTGTCTACTTTCCTTTGTTCCTGTATCTTTGGTCTTGTTCTCCTCTTGAGTATATTTTTTTCTCAAGAAAACTCCCTTTTCTCCCCCTTTCTATAAAACACTAGAGTAATTTCAAGTCTTAAGTGAATTAAACTCAAATCTGTATTCTCCTTGGAGATCTCCTTTGGATACATTCACAGTTGAGGTGTTCATGTGAAACATTTTTTCCTGCTTAGAGTCTGAGGACTTAGGAGTTTTGTCTTTGATTTCCAGACACTCCTCATTTAAGTTGGGGCAGTGACTCGAGCCAGACTGCAGACACCTGACACTGTGTGTATGTGGCTGGTCTGGCTTGCTGTACATGCCCAACCTGCTGCAGCAGTGCTGTTTGCATGTGTAGAGTAAGACAGGAAACTCCAGGTTTTATGGCCTTCCTGAACATGTTCAGTGCTTGTTTGGCAACTTAGATTCCCAGTCATTTACCTTCAGTATAGACTTGGTGTGTTAGGGACTCATCAGTGTCATTTCCTATATCAGGGACTATGTAGTGTAAGCGTATTCTTCTTGCCTAGGATCTAGGGCCATCCTATAGGCTGTTTGCCATCAGAGTAAAGATTTACATTATTCATTGAGTCCCTCTGACCGCACATGGCTCAATGTGACAATGTTTTTTCTCCCCATGTGTGCTTTCATAGTTGCCACTGCTTTCTGCCCTGCAGGTACACCTGTGTGAAGCTGATGGTCTGCTGGAATTTCTGGGAGTCTCTTCCACAGAATTCACCCGACAACCAGTTCTAGTAGCAGTAAAAATGCTAAGATCAGATGTCAACAAAACAGCCAGGTAAGCATGCTGGCAGCGGCTGCCATCTGAGAGTGAAAGTCAGTGTTTTCCACTCAGCAGTTTGAGAGATGTCACTGGGGCTCACCTGTGTTAGAGACAGGCCCCGCGCAAGTTTTGTGTGTTCATGTAAAGAACAGGACACAGAGTTGAGAGTAGGAATAGACATATCTATTTTTGAAATGGTGCCTTTGTCCCCTTCACTAGAGAGAGGGTGGATGTTGCCCACAAACACAGAACTGGTGTTCAAACTCGCAGTGCACAGATATCCATATACTATACCCAGATACTGACCCTCGTCAGGGATTTCATATTGCCTCTGCTGTCCTTAGACAAAGGAATAGCCTGAGATTCAAGCCTGTTTTCTGTCTTTTAAGAAATGACTTCCTGAAGGAGATCAAGATTATGTCGCGGCTGAAGAACCCAAATATCATCCGACTCCTGGGCGTGTGTGTGCGTGACGACCCGCTGTGCATGATAACGGAGTACATGGAAAATGGCGACCTCAATCAGTTCCTGTCGCAGAGGGAGATCTACAGTAAATTTGCTGTTTCAAACAACATTCCCTGTGTGAGGTAAGAAGAGCAGGCTGTTTAGGTCTAACCAGGAATAATGAGCTATCACAGCATCTGCTGCGCCTTCCAGGGAGTTTCCTTCTCCCAGCCTGGTCAGCTCTGCAGCCTATATTGTGGGCAAACAGTCCCACTTTGAGTGGGAGGTTGTTTTAAAGGACTTCCAGAGGTTCATGTTGTTGTGAAGCACCCCTGACTGTGAGCTGTTCTGATCGCAGTGAGCACTTAGATGTCTTTTTTTTTTTTTTTTTTTTACCAGCTTAACCATTTCCTGCATTAGTGAGCTAGTATCAAATAACTAATTAATATGCCAAACTAGTTGCATTGCAGTGAAAATCAAAAAATTCTGCTAGGCTTTTAAAATGTCTCCTTGGTTCCTGGTGTGTGGGTTTGTGTGTGTTGTGTTTGTTTTGAGAAAATAAAAAAGGGGGAAGTGAGTGTAGAATCAAACTAAGGGAAGATTTTATCTTCTAGCTGAAGGAGAACATTTCTCTGAAAAAGAAAATGGTTTTCTGTCAGTACTGACATTAATCTCTTCTGCAGAAAGATTAAATCTGACTTAAAAGCATCACCACTGTTGAAGAAAATCCTTTCCTACTGAAGTAGTCTTGTGTGTAGGACAAAGATGCTTATTCTGCTCAATAGAGAGACCTGCTCTGAGAACTCGCTGCATAGCTTAGTCCTTGGCATGTACCTATTTATAGTTTAGTAGCAGGGCAGAACAAGTTCTGTTGATGGACTGGTCAGGAGATGGCTGTATTTTACCATCGCATCCACGTTTCTGCTGGCAGTGGGCAGCAGCCTCGTCAGGAATGTTATTCTGGCATCCTGCATAGTCATGATACACTGAGAACTATGGAGTGGGAGAGGATTTACATCTGTGTAGAAACCTCTTCCTGCTGTCTGCAGTCCCTTGTGCCTTCCACACATCTACAGCATCCCTCACCTTTAGACTTAGGGCATTTACCTGGCCAAAGCCTTGAACTGTCCATTCTTTTTCATGCTGCTCCTGAATTGTCCTATGATTGTAGAACTGCCTCTCATATTTTTCTTTCAGACTCCCTTCCTCTGTAATTTGGTTTAACTTCTGTTTTTTCTGTGTCTCTATTTGATCCTTCATCTCATTCTTAGTGTTGCCTTTATCCCATCTTTCAAGCAAATATAGTTTCTTCCTAAAGAAACATTGTGACTAGCTCAGATGTTTGTCTGTATAGGAGGTGTTTATTGAGCATGAAATGAAGCCCTTGGCTAAAGACTGCACCTTGTTCAACACCCACAGGAGTTGGTAGAGACACGGCAGAGTGCCAGCATCCCCCCAGTGCTGAAGCCTATTACTTCATGCACCAGATTTGAGACATGTCTGAAGGAGAGGGCTTGTCGCTGTGTTCCTTAAGCCCTTTTGGCTCTTGTTTGAAGTGCATCTTGCTGCTTCTGTGACTCTGTAGCAAATGATGAAGACAAGTGGATGGTCTGCTGGGGAGCATTGCCTGCCCTGCTCCTCTTCACAGCAGGCACTGTAGATCTCACTGAGCAGAGGAGCGATGAGCCCAGCGTTGGCTACGGGCAGGTCTTCCCCAGGATGCAGATGAGACCATGGGGCTGCTCGAGTAGCCTGGGTCAGCCCAAGGGGGACGCTGTGACCAAGCAGGGGCCTGGGAGAAGGTAGGGCCTGTGGGCGATGCCCGGCCCCATGCAGGAAGCTCCTGGCTGAGGCACAGGCAGCTGGAAAAGCTGCTTGTCTGTGGGAAACAACAGGTCTGCCCAGATCGGGAGCAACGTTGAGTTGACTGTCACCTGGGCCAGCCGAGTGTCACCTGGTTGGGCTGTGTTTCACCATGCCCAAAGGCTGTGAGGGCCTTCAGCTTGCGAAGGTGGGCTATATTATCATTAGGTGATTAGGTTGGTATAATTTACATAATATGATAGGTAGTGCTTTTTTCATTGCCACTAAAACACAGATGACGAGTATGGCTTTCCTCACTGAGCTTTGAGAGAATTATTAACTGCAAGCAGATTATGCATATTAGATTTTGTGTGAAAACTGCTTGTTTATATGAAGTGTTCAAGCTTGCAAATGGGAATACATTGCAAAGAAATGGCACATGAAGCATCTGGAAAGTCAGATGGTTCATGGCCAGTGTATCATGCACCTTTAGTAATAGTACCTTTCTTTTCTACTGAAAGGAAATACAATTACAATAGATGGAAAATATATTTGTTGAAACACTTAGCTTACCTTTCTTGTTTTAAATATATAGTACTTTCTTCAAAGTTAGTGATATTTCCCATTGCAGTGTTTGCGAGTTAACAAATTGAGTAGTTTAAGACATGAGATTCTGATCTTATGATCATGAGACTGTACAATTTAATTTTTCCTGGCTCTGAAAAGTTGGTGCTATGATGCATAAACTCCTTCCATATCAGCTCCTTGTACATGGAATCAATGAAGTACTGCTTATGAATTAAGTCTTTCAGGGCCAGTCTGTCCTTGCTTGGACAACTGGACGTCTTCGTTTGTGCTCTTATGGTGAAAAAAGTGACAGGCTAACATTGTTCCCTTGTAGTATAACAAATGTGAGGCCCTAGCCTTATGTCAAGAGCTGAATGCAAGGAATGCCTCTGCTAATGTTCTTTCGGTCTTGTTTCAATGCAGCTATGCTAACCTGCTGTACATGGCCACCCAGATTGCCTCGGGGATGAAGTATTTGGCATCTCTGAATTTTGTGCACAGAGATCTGGCCACTCGCAACTGCCTGGTGGGCAACAACTACACCATCAAGATTGCAGACTTTGGCATGAGCAGGAACCTTTACAGTGGGGATTACTACCGTATCCAGGGGAGGGCTGTACTGCCCATACGTTGGATGGCCTGGGAAAGCATCCTTCTGGTAAGGACTGTACGAAATAATTCTCTGCTTGCTTTGCTTGTTTTCATTGTGTCCCTGAATCAGTAACCAGCCCTTACAGCATCCCAACATACGGTGTTAGTGGCTCCCGGTGAGATGTCCTTGTGCCAGGCGTATTGCATCCCTCGGAGAAGGAGGGTGCTCTTGCAAATACAGTGCAGCACAGACCATGCACAGCCTAATTTCTGTTCTGTTCCTGGCATACATGATTCCTGCTAGAATGTAAACAAGCTCCCTCTCTGTGCCCGTTGCCCAGCCGTGAAGCTTAGAAGGGCAGGGATAAAACATGATGAGTTTCTAGTTTCAAGTCTGGCTCTGAGGTTGGGATTTTTTTTGTGTGTCCAAGGCTCTCCCCTTAGGAGATGGTTTAACAGCCAAACAAATTCAATCCAAAGGCAGTTTTATAACATTTGGCTTGATAGTTCCTTTTCAAACTAATCTATGTGCCCACCTTTAGGTATTGCCTACCTTTATTTTTACAAGTGCATAGCAAACTTGTAACTAGATGTCATTATAATGCCTGATATATTGCCTAAGCTTTTCTAAATTCACTTCAGTGTCTTAGTTGCAGCTTCATCTAACCTGTAAGTCTCTTCCACCTTACTTGTGCTAACATCTTCCAAATATTTGCAGACTACTAGGGTTGCCAGATAAGCCTGAGCAGTCTTGAGTGTCTTCTGACCAAACAGGCCCTCCAGCTCCCTGATTATTCACACAGCAGCAGACAAAATAAAATCTTGTTTCCCGTTATTTCTCTGGACACGCGTTGCTCCAAACACAGCAAGCTTGGGCACATTTTTCTAAGGCAGAGAACACACAGTGAGCACAATGTCACCAGCTTTTGCCCATACATTCCTGAGAGTAGGTCACTTGCTCTGCTGTCTCTATGGAGAGCCTTTTCCGAGGTACAAATGTGTGTCCTCACATTAGGCTGCTGAGAGCTTAGGTTGAAATGGTTTTCCCAAATGTGTCCTGTGAGCAGAGAGGGCTTACAGTGTTGTTTCTGTTCACAGGGCAAGTTCACCACAGCCAGTGACGTCTGGGCATTTGGGGTCACCCTCTGGGAGATGTTCATACTGTGTAAGGAGCAACCTTACAGCCTTCTCTCAGATGAGCAGGTCATTGAGAACACAGGCGAGTTCTTCCGGAGCCAGGGCAGGCAGGTAAGAACACAAAAGTGACTTCTTTACTTGCCCTCCACATCTGAGTGGGTTTCCCAAGGGCTTTCCTGGTGGCTTGATATCCTCTGCAGAGGTCCTTGCTTCTATTCCTCACCTTTCCAAGTGTGTCCCAACTCTCCCATTTTTCATCCAGGTTCTTGTGCTAGCTTTCCCATATTGGAGTCCCATGAGAAGAACTTCTTGGCCCTGTCCAGTGCCTCTTCCTTACTAGAAGCCACTTCCATTTCCAGATAGATTTGATGTACCACCCTCCTCATTTTCCCTGGGCTCACTTATACAATCCACTTGCTCCTTTCCCTTGTCCAGTATCTCTCCTGTTAGCATTTCCTCTGAAAAATAGGGAAGCCCATAGTGAGATGGGGAAGGAGGAACTGTTAGTGCCTATGAGTTGGGTATTCCCTCTACTATCTCCACACATGCCAAGATGCCTCTGACTATCCCAAGCTTTTAAGGGCTTTTGTGTTGTTACCTGTCCTCTCATTTTAATTCCTGGGCAGTGCTGTGGGGTCTGCTGCTGCCAGCTTTATTCTCTTGAATCAGTGAGGGTCTATGATGATGATGGTGCTGCATCACACACAGCCCAGCGCCTTGGTACTGAGGCTCTTCCACCCCGGCAAAAGCATGGAGTGCTTGTTATTTGCCAGTCTTCTAAAACTAAGTTTTAGCACCAATCATTTCATTTGATTTAATGAAGAAGATGAAAGATGAGTATCTTGAGAGAAAAATAAAGCTATTGCTGCCAACCTGTGTCTTAGATAAGCTCTAAAAGGTTTTCTTTCTGTCTCTGCTAACAAGCTATCACGATGCTTAAAAAGCCTCATGGGTTGTCTACGGTGAGTGAAAGTATTTGGATTTTATTGTGGTAAACTTGGTTTTGGTTTGTGTGTTGCTGTCACTTAGAATAAAAATCCTCTAAAATGTTTATTTTTATGGGACAAATGACTGTTTTGTGACTGGCTTTGTCACTGAACACATTGACAAAGTATCTGCTTTACGCCTTGAGATATGTCAAAGATTCATCCAGACTTCACTTCCAGATTCATGCTTAATGGGTTTTGAACATTGCATGACTGCTGTCTTGTAAAACCTAAAACAAAATTGTCCTTTGGTTTTAATTGAATAAAGGTTCAGTTCTTTTAATAAAGATAACTGAAATAGTTGTGCTTCTCTCTTCCAGATTTATCTCTCCCAGACTCCTCTGTGTCCTAACCCAGTGTTTGACCTGATGCTGAAATGTTGGAGCAGGGATATAAAAGATCGTCCCACTTTTGACATGATTCACCACTTTCTTCTAGAACAGATGGAATCAAATATTTGACTCAAGAAAAAGAGACAAACTGTGGAGAACTGAGTGACTTTGGTGTCTCTCTTTGCCTGGACCTCATGGGAAGGTGGTCAGGCTGTCTTGCTCTCCTCCCTTGACTCTAATCTATTTAAGTTGAGACATCCATGGCAGCTGCTCATTCTATTGGCCATGGTCTGACACACAGGACCAGAGGATTTTATTTGGTTGAAGAATCATCTCCTCTTCTGAATCCTTTCCTGGGAATACTGTGAGAGGGAATTGATTAGATGCCCATAAACTTTGGGGCCAAAGGAATGAGTTAAGCTTTGTGAGGGACTTGGAGCTCTCTGCTGTATGGAATAGAAAGCTACCAGTTGATTTGGGAGTTACGATTCAAGAAAAGATGTGTAGAAGCAGTCTTCTAACTCAATTCCATTGAGTCCAATGGAGTCTTGAGCACATTAGCAAGTGTTTCAGTATGCTCTTGCTACAGACAATAGGTATAGCGAGAAACTAGAAATGACTAGAACTAGGAAATGGTTTAACAGACTTGAACTGATAGAGCTGGAGTTAGCAGCCCTTTGGAAGTAACTTTACAAGGGGCTATGGAGGATGCAGATAAGGTTCAAGATCATGTTCTTTTTTTTTCCTGTGGTTGTTAAGCACTGCTTTGGTTATATATGTGCATTTTCCCCACACTGGATTTTTTTTCTAAAAAATAAATAAAAGGAAAAAAATGAATGTTAAAGGTCACTGAAGGTCACTACAGTAGATCTTCTTTTGACCTACAAATAAGGACTAGAGTAGGGAGTTTGTATTGAAAAGTAGCTGATACTGTACTACTGTCACTATGTAGATTTATTAGCCTAATGAACTTGTAGCCACAACGGACTGATGTGCAATTAATCCTGTATAAGTACCCGTTAATATGAGACCTCTAAGTCAGTGCTGTTACATGTGCAGAGGGACTTGCCTTTGTAAAACTGGCTGAGAGCAGAACCTGCTGTGTCACCTGTGGGAGCAGGGTGCTGCTGCCTGCGGCCACGCGCCCCTGGCACTGCCTGGTCCCCTCAGCTCTGCAGTGCTCGGGCGCGCGGGCAACGCTCTTCAACCCGGGCTCCTCCATGGCTGTGACCAAACCCGGCCTCGGCAGCTGGGGCTGCTGCAGCCCTGGCTTCTGCTCAGGGTGGGTTTGCTCGTTATTTTGGATGCTTCCCCTCAAACGAGACAATCCCGGTTCAGTCAATAAGTTGTTTTGTGCTTCAGTTAAGTCACAAGTGGCTCATTCTGCATAGGTTTTGCAGGGCTCTGAAACCCTTTTGACATGAGCTAGGGAATTCAGCTTGTTTCTATGTAAAATCCATTGTGGATTTGTGAGACACCTGGGGAATACTCTGCTATACTGTCCCTAATTGTGTAACAAGGTACTTGAGGACCAAACTCCAATGTTTCATAAGCTGGGAGATGAAAGTTCAGCACTTGGCTTTTTTGACAGCATTCAATGTAGTGTATATATTGGGCAAAGCTTGTAAAGATAATTTTTATCTTGGCCACAAGCATGATGTGAATAGTTGTCTGTGCTAAGAGCTCTGCCTGGGGACGCTGCTGAGAGAAGGAATGTTGAAACAGTTATAATTAAGGCTGTTAGAGTCAAAGAAAAAAACCTGTTCCTGAATTGGCAGGTGCCGGGATCGTGTGTTATGTCCATTTCTGCTGTCCAAGCAGAACAGATTCTGTGATGAAGTTGCCCCGTTGCAGCTCACTCTGTACGACTCGTATCCAGATTGTCGCGTTTGAGGTCTGATGTGGGATTCATCTCACTGCACAAAGGTGTCTCCATCCAAGCTGGTCTATCAAGCTCCCTTTGCTCGAGAAGGAGCCAGAGTAAAGTCATCTCATCCCTGCGGGAGGTCAGGTGAATCTCACCTGCAAAGTAGGTGTGTTTCTCCTGGGACTTGACGTGGCCCTGGGTGACTCGCTGCAGCAGATGTACTGTAACATCTGGAGCTAAGTGAGAGGAGCAAAAGCCAGCGGTGGTTCCTGCTGCAGCCTGTGCCCACATGGATGGTGACATGCTGGTGACTGCTAACCACAAGCTGGTTTTATCTCTGGAATCTTTCCATGGTGGCTCACAAAAGGTACCCAAGTAATACACAGCATGTGAGTGAGTTCAGAGATACCCATGTGCTATAACTTCACCTGGACCAGCTTTGTACTTGTGTTGCCAGGAAGTGCTGTTCCTCCATTGAAATGTTGACATACAAAGTTTTTCTTATCAATAAATCCTAATGATAACCTTGACAGTGAATTTCTGCCTCTTTATTTTTCTTACCTAGGTGTCTGCAGTGAGTACAAGCATTTTGGATTGCTGCTCAGTAGCTCTTTGGTAAATCTTTAACCTCCTAATTTGCAGCCATTGGGCATTGAAAGGAGCAAACTTGAAGGGAGTTTCTGAGAAACGTGGGAAGCTGGGCCTGGGCTGCTTCCGAGCTGAGGAGGGGCCTAGAACAGCCTGCGGTCATCCCAGTGCTGTGGGACCTCCCTTGAAACGCGGTGCAGCATTTCCGTAAGAATCTTTTCCTTGCTAATATTGAATTCCAGGACGATTCAGCTGAGCAGGGGAGTATGGGGGACCTCCAGAGGTATCTAATCCAGTTGTCTGTTAAAAGCAGAACTGACTTGAAAGCTGCATCACTTGGTTTAGGGCCTTGTCTAGATTAAAGATCTCCTGGGGGGAGGATGTTGCCACCTCCCTGTCCCAGGGCTTTGCTGCTCTCTTGGGGAAGGGTGGTTATGCCCTGTGTGCCTCTTCCCAGTTGCAGCTTGTGTCTCGTGACTGCTTACTCTCTTGCTGTGAACACTCAAAGTTGTTGTGTTCTTCGTGGCCTCCATCCCCACTGCAGACCTGGGGTTGCTTGTAAAGGTCTGCCATAAATCAGAGCTCAGATATTTTTAAGGCCAGAAATTCTGTTGCTCCCAGAACTTCTGCAAGAGCAAGAGTCAAGTCAGCATTTTATCTCCTCTGATAGAGCCTGGGCAGAGTGTAGGCACCTGAACCAACGGAGGAATCCCCAAATCATAGAGCTTTAAATCCAGGGGTTTCTTCCTGCTGGCCCTGTGGCCCAGGCTTTCTGAGGCCACTTGGGGAGCTCGCAGTGTCCTGCGCCTTGGGCTTTGCAGAGGCCCGGGTCTCTGCGGCTATCGCAGTCACCAAATTCTGGTGCAACACGTTTGGTGCCAGCCTCAGCACTTGTCCAGTAGGTGGGAGGCTGCGTCCTGGGCTGCCTCTGGCCAGAGGGCTCTGAAAGCCTGGGTGTACAAGGCACCTTGACTGCATAATGCCCCCAAACCCTGGGCTAGGGATTTCCTCAAGGGAAATGCGTGAGTGGGAGCCCAACACCCCTGGGCAGCACTGACCTCGTGCGCAGGGGCTGTACCGGGTGCTGCTGCATGTGCAGTTGGGCTGGCTCATTGGACACTTGGAATATGAGCATGTTGCTTACAGGGAACATCTGGCACTCATCTGGAGGGCTATGAGCCTTTGGGAAGCATTTGGATATTATGAAAGCTTTCCTCTCCTCCAAGGTTTCCAGGTGTGGGGGGGGAAGTCATATTCAGAAAACCCTGGGCGTGCAGTTGTCGCTTGGAGCACTGGCCATCTCCCAGCATCACAGAGGTCGTCTGGGCAACTGGGCTCTGTGGCTGCTGCTTTGGCCTCCTAGTGCTGGCAGAGTCACACTGCCATGGCAGCTGTGAAGAAGAGCAGCCTCTTCCCTCCCGATCCTCACTACATCCCAGGGTAAGTGCTTGCGTTTGTCCAGTGCGGGTGTTCGTCCCCAAAGCGCAGAAATCTGGCTGGGATAAATTGCCATTCTTGACTCAAAAAATGTTGTTTTGTTTTCTTTTCTGAATGCTATTACATAATTCATATAAAAGTGCTGTGAAGGAGAAGGGGCTCTGGGACCTGGCAGGGGAAATAAGGCCTTATAGTAGGGTGCAAATCAAGACTATACTATGGTGCATTAAGGGAACTTTAAAACTGTTTTTCTATCATTTGTTTCAAGCTGCCAGATGTTACTGGTGCTGCTATTCAGAGCATTGACTCCCAGTTTAAATGATCTTTGTGTTTTGCATATTCAAGTTGAATAAATATTTGCATAAATATGACATTCATAGGGAGTAGTCATGCTCCTAGCTTTATCCAATTTTTTGGAAGAAATTAGTGAGTATGTGGATAATGGTCATCCATTTACTCCACAGTTGGCTTTTCACAGACTCACAGAAGGGTTGAGGTTGGAAGGAGCCTTCAGCGACCATCCAGTCCAGCCCCCTGCTCCAGCAGGAACACCCAGAGCACGGGGCACAGGGTGATATCCAGGCAGGTTTGGAAGATCTCCAGAGAAGGAGCCTCCACAGCCTCTCTGGGCAGCCTGTGCCAGGGCTCTGTCACCCTCACAGGAAAGATGTTCTTCCTTGTGTGGAGATGGAACTTGCTGTGTCTCAAAAACTTTTTGGAAAGTTCTGCTCTAAAAGCCTTTGTTTTCTTTTCCAAAGCTGTAGTTGGCTAAGTTATTAGTTAAGAGATGATCAATGAGGTAGAAATTAGCAGTTATGCTTCATGGTGAAATGGAGAGAAGGTGCCAGTGAGGTCCCCTGGTGATCCATGCTGGGATACGTAATCTCGAGCACCCATGTAGGTGATCTGGAAGGGGCTGGATGGCCCAAGGGGCAACAGAAGTCCCTGGTCCAAAATTCCTTGGGTGACTTGAGGCTACGGCTCACTCTGAAAAGCATCTGAAAGACCTTGCAATACAGAGCAGCTGGGAGTTTTTTTTTGTTGTTGTTGTTTTTTGTTGTTGTTTTTTTTTTTTTTTTTTTTTTTTTTTAAAGGGGTTTTGTTTTTTTTTTTTTTTTTAAGCAGTGTTGCATTGTCTCAGTTGTCTGTCTGATGTGATGCTAGACCATGTGTGTGCTACCGGCAGCAATAACACCGTGAGTGTCGGGGCTGGGCGTCTTTTCTTATAGACTAACAGCTCAAAGTCTTCCTCATTTCTGCATTCAGAAAGTTAAGGCCCTAATACCAAACTGTAGCAGTGGGGACTGCTCCTCTTCAGGCTGTTGCTCCATACCCTGAAGAGGTGAGGAGGAACATTGACCCAAAAAGGCTGAGCTCTGCCACTGCTTTTCTCAGTGTCAGCCCAGTCTTGCCCGGTGGCTTGGAGCACCCCTCTGACGGCCTGGGGAAGAGTTCACAGCTGGCTGAGGGCATTGCTCTGTGCATGACTCGGGGGCTTGAGCCTGAAAATGCCCGCATGGTGCTCAAAAGCGTTAGGAGGAGAAATGGGCTGGTAGGACAGAGAAAGCACAAGGAGACCTGGTAAAACTCATGAGGTGAGTCCTGTCTGGGTGTCATCCTGCCCACCCCATGACAGGGAGGCTCCGCGGAGCTGGGCTGAAGGCCAGGCCTGTTCCTTGGCCATGAAGAAGGCTGAGCAGGTTTACGTGGCGCTCTGGGAAGTGATGATTGAGAAGATAGGGTTGAGTAATAGAAAAGTGAAATTAGGCCCAGGCTTGAGAAAGCACCTCCTTGAATTGCTGCTCATAGGAGTTTTGAGGTTTGTGACTGAAATGGATGAGCATGAACTACAGAAATGGTGCATCTCTTTATCAGAAAGATAAATTATTTACCTTTATAGACAATGTAGACAATTTACCTTTATGTACAATGTGCACAAAGTCATGTAGCACATAGGAGTCGAGGTCTGTTGCTGAAGCTCTACTGCTTTCAACAGCAGAACTTGTCAGTCAATTATGGGGCAGATCCATTCCCTGCAAACCCAGACTGACTTGCCCGAGCTCCTTAAATCAGCCTGCTTTTAATTGCTTATAAATTGAATCCTTTCTCAGCCCTACCATTATTTTGTTCATGATCAAAATCTCTCTGACAAGCCTGTAATTATTTGGGCTATGTCATTTACGCTCTTGCTTGGCTTCACCTTGCTGGCATAGCTTCCTAATGCTCCAAGACTTACTGAAAAATCAATGAGAAATGGGCTGCAGAGCTTCTGTACCAGCTCTTGATATAAAGATCCTGCTCTGTAGAATGGGGAAGCTTGCCAGCTGTAAATGCATACCTTGGCTAGCTGCTGCTTAATGCATTTGGCAGGGAAAGTACTTAGTAATCATCTTATGACACTCATGCATCATCCAACATCTTCCCCAAGCATGCGGCAGGATCACTGATGGAGCGTTTCTGTCCATGTTGCGTTTGGTAGTTCTGCCTTCCTCCTTCAGCAGAGGAACAACATCCCCATTAGGAAACTTGTGATGCTGGGAGCGTTTACAGCTTCTGTTTCATACCTGAGCTCAGGCTCCTTCCCTGGGGCCCCACAGCCCAATCCTCCTTCCCCAGCATTAGCTATGGAGATGCTGAAACGTTAGCTGTCTGTCCTGAGCCCAGGGAAGAGAGATCAGCATCTTGGGAAAGCAGTTGCCCTCTTGGTGGTCTCTCTGGTCCAGAGACTAGGGTGACCTGGATGCCAAGGTTGGTTAGACCATTTATCTTCAGAAAAACGGGAGTTAACGCAACGCATCTGGCCTGCAGGGAACAGGACCCTTCTCCTCCAGATGGGGCAAATCCCACCTACTTGTAGCATGGGGCTCCCTTGCTCCCCAGCTGGCAGGCAGGCCAGCCACGACAGCCATGGCGCCAATGGGAAGAGGGGCGGGCACGTGTGACTGTGCTAAAATGTCACTTCAGGCCTTGCACAAAGGTCCTCAGACAACGTGGTGAACTGCCCCGGCACGAGCTGAGCAGTTGCCTGTGAGCGTTTCCTTGCAACCTAGCGCGGCAGCTGTGTGGCTCTTCCCACCTGCTGCTGGGGCCCTGTCCTGCCCTGTGCTTCCTTGGGAGGATATGGGAAAGAATTGTTTGCAGGTTAACTTTTTTTTTTTTTTTCATTATCTGAGTTTTAATATTGAACAAGAGACATCTGAAAATTGCCCGTAATCTCTGTGTTTTACAACTGTAAGGGAGATCACAAGATTTCAAGTTGTAGCATGTTTTAATACCAGAACTGAGGATCTCTGAAGGACAAGCTTTGTGCCGTGCTCCCGCTAGAAGATTTCCTACTGTCCCATACGCAATGTGCTTCTGCAGGGGCCTTCCCTGACTTCCTCCCGTATTCCTGCACAAGCCTGTGCCTCCGCCCAGCTGTAGTGTGGCAAGCCAGGGGCTTTGCTCCTGCGCCAAGGCATGCATGCGCACCTGTGGCTCATGCACAGCCATGTCCATCTCGTGCCGGTGCTGCCTGCAGGGCAATACTCTGCTAAAAACATGTTCGTGCTCACAGGCCTCCTACCCTGCAAAGCCCATTCCCATATTCCCTGCGTATGTTCTTTTAAATGTGCAAAATGCCCAAGTTATATCATTCTGTGCATGGAAAGGACATCTTTAGATGTCATATTAGTGAATGATCCTTTTGATTTCCTCCTCAGGTATGAGGGCTTTGTGCCTCAGTACACCTACCAGTTTGGAGAAACCTTTGGCAAAACCACTTTTCGGCTGCTGACAGATCCCAGTGTTCGGAAGAGCCCTCACTCCCTGCTGGCACCGCTGCCCAAGCTGAGGTTCATAGAGGACTTCACGGGGACCAAGCATGAGGTCCCAGATTATATCCCTGTGCATCCAGGTGAGCAGGGGCAGGTCTTGGTCTTTTCAGCAAAGTGGGAGGTTCTGTAACTGAAGTCACAGAGTTCCTCGGGCACAGGGAGGTCTGCGCTTAGCAGGGGTGATCTCCGGGACAGCAGCGTGGCATTTCTCATAGAGACATTGAAGCTCTCATGAGAATGAGGACCACAGGAGAGCAGCACTGATGAGTAGTTTAAGTGTGAACTCGCTCTCCTGGGGAATTTCCTGCTTCTACTTCAGCTCTGTCGGTGTCTCATGCACCCTTCTCTTCCCAATTTCTGCCAGTTGTGCTAGCGTGGATCTAAATATGGGACTCCTTTATGCAGGTGTAGCTTGTTAGCTTTATTCCTGAACATCTAGATTTGCATTTCCCTTGAATTAAAATGTAGTTTGTTTGAATGGACCCAACTAACTAGTTGTACTAGTTGCTCTCTGTCATTATCCCGTCTTCAGTAATATTTGGCAACCTTTACGTCACATATGAGCACTTGCAGCTTTGATTTCATTTATTTCTTGTTGGTGAAAATGCTGAAGAAAGAGGTTGCGAGAAACACTTAAATCTGCTAAAATATCTTCTTTATGACCTATTGCTATAGAGCTGTCAGAGAGCAAGTCCTTAATCTTTCCACTGTAAACTTTATTAATACTGGGTGGCATTCCTTTTCTAAGGAGAATATTGGATATTACTAAGGTCCCATATCTCACTGTGGTGTATCGTATTGGTGTAGTTGCCTTTAGCAAACTTGGAGCCTAAAGAACGCTTTTCAAAATCTGTTTGCTGTTAGACCTTGTTGCTGTTGGTTTGTTATCAGTCGAATCCCAGACGGGTGTGTTTTGTGGAAGCTATAACAAGCTCATTTGATGATGTCATCAGTGATGCTGGGTCTCCACAGGCTTCCATGATAATTTTGAGGGGTTATCACATAGAGCAAGTGCATGGGGTGACGTGTGGACACCCCAGAGTCAGGAACAGGGTGATGATGCCCGAAAAACAGATGGTCACTCGCTCATTGGGTCATAACGAACAGAGACAAAAGGTTGGAAGGACAAAATATCCGTGTGTTGAAGCTCGAGTGGTTCTCCTGGAAGCTCCTGCTTGCTCAGAGGTGGTGCCCCATCTCCTGCATGTGGCATTTCTTTCAGCAAGCTGCAGGAGTGTTCAGAAATAGCTCCTCACCATCAGTCCTTAGCCTCCGGATCGACATGCATTACTGGGAGGAGATTGATCTGATTGCACATGTTTTCCTCTGCCAAACAGAGAAGGTTTTCTTGGCTTTTCATTTTGTGCCTAATTCAGCAGCCCATCTGAATCAGTAAGTTTACAAAATCAAGAAAAAAATAAGGTAACAAAGAGCCAGGAAGGATTTCTCAAGCACACGGCTACTTCATCTCTTCTTTTGGTGGAGTATCTGACCTGCTGGGCCAAAAAAGAGGAGTAGATTCTACATTTGCAGTAATAATCTAAAGAAATAATAAGGTGAATCTTCTATAAAACTTGTGCAGGAGCTTGGAAAAAATAACTTTTATTGGTTGTTGCAAACCAGGTAATAGCCCTTAACAATACCACTGTAAAAGGATCCTAAACCTAAATACAAAGCGGATTTGTCTCTTGCAAACTTCATGCTGTTTTAGATGGGATATTTATTCTGGTGGATTTGTTGCAGCAAGGGCTTTAGCTAAAGGATAGTGTCCAGCCTGTGGGGTTTTTCCCTGTAATACAGACATAAAAAGAAAGAGGAATTCAGGAAGAGGCAGTAACAATCAGAGGGCTGAAAAAAAAAGACCTATAAGAACAAAAATTGAAGGAATTTGGTTTGTTTACCATGTCATTCTGCTCTTTTTTTAAAGTGTTTTGCAATAAGGAAAAGATTGTTACAGGAGTAGGATCAATTGTTCCACAGAATTGCCAAGGAAAACTAGAGTTGGTTTAGGGAGTCCCTGGCCCAGAGCGGGTTGGGGAGCCCGAGGGACCTACGTCATGGACTATTTTTAAGGGAAAGTTCGACACAAGCTGCCAAACTCAGCTGTCACTGCAGAGTCTCAATGTGCTGCACTCTGCCCCGGTTCGCAGTGTACACTAGCTAGAGAGTTTTTCCTTCCTTTTTAAATTTCCTTTCCTCTGTTTTTCCCTTTTCTTCACTAATGGTAGCAAAGGCAGCAAGCAAATTCCCCATTTGATGGGGCAGGGACCATGTCTGTGGTACAGGTACAGCGAAAGGAAGCAAAGTATTTGATTTTATTTATTATTTTGTTCCTCCCTTACTGCTCACTGGTGCCGGTAGGGAAGCCACCAATGTTTTATGGTCTAGGCATGGCCTTGACTGAGTTATAAATGACTGAACTTCTTGAGATGCTCCTGTGCACAGGCAAGGTCACCAGATGGGGCTGATGAATCTCAGGCCCCACCATGTTCTCTACAGCTCTGGCCCCAGAAGCAGAGCGGGCCCAGGGCCACCTGCGTGGGGATGCCCCAGCTGCCCCGCTCCTTTCCCGTGACTTGCTGTCTCTCTCGCAGGGGATCTCTCCCCTCGGGAAGCTATGGCTGGAGTGAGTACCCTCGGCCCAGCCCTCGAGCCAAACGCTCCTGCTCCGCAGCAGGGCCGGTTGGGAGAGCGTTGTGCTCAGGCACGCACAGGCTCCAGTGACACCGCTCGGCCACGCGAGCTCCGGCCCAGCCACCCTGGGCTGAGGCTGGCCTACGAGTACGAGCAGGTGATTCCGTCCCGGCGCTCCACCACGCCACAGGCAGCGGAGGAGAAAGAGGGGCGACTACCAGACATAACCGCAGGTGGCGCGCAGCGGAGAGCAGAGGCTCCCTGCCGACCTGACCCCGCCTATGTCCAGGGATGGAGCTTTCCCAGCATCCCGGAAATCAAACAGGTAAGAGGTTTTGGATGGAAAAGGCACATGTTGCGGAGGGGTGGATGGTTGGGTGCTCTGCACATGGTACACAGGCACGGAAAGGTTCACCTCAGTGTGTGGAATGTGGAGAGGGAACCTCCTACGGCCTGGCGAGGGGCAAAAGTCAAAAGCATCTTGTAGAGTTCTATCAAATTCACGGTGACATCTCTAGCAGTAACAAATCCACAGTGTCCTCAGGAAATTGTTTTGACTGATTACGCTTCCTAATCAAAATGGTTTGATTTCTCATTCGACTGTGTTTTAGCTTCAAAGTCTAGTCAATAGATCTTGTACGTTTCAAACAACCATTCCTCTCAGGCTAGGCTCATGCTTCCTCTGCAGTTACTTAAAGCCCAACGCATTGATATTCACTTTGATAAAATAGAGTGTTCCTGGCATCATCTGTTACATGATATTTCTGGTCTCTTAACTGTTCTCGTGACTCACCTGGATTTCCCTCAATTTTTTCAGTATTCCTCATGTAACACAAGCACTGTGATTTGACCCGGTAAAATAACATTGGGCTCAATACCACGGGTAACACGGCACAGCTAGCATGACACTGGGACAACCTGTTTGATCCCCTTATTTCCTCTGGACCCAAAGATAGCATTTGTCGTGTCACAGTCAGCTGGGGCAGTGCAAATCCACCGAAGGCAGAGATTAGAGATTTGACATACTGAGTTGAAAGCTGGATTGGATATAAATCCCAAGAACTCATTCCTGTTCCTTGCTCTAAGAAATAGCTTGTGGGAGAGATTTTCAAAGGAGCTCAGCACCGAAAGCTTCCCTTGTTCTCTCTGGGGTATTTTGCCCAAGCTCTGCATATACAGATCTTGTCCAGTAATTTGACTTCAACAGACATTTTTTCTGGCTCTTAGTGTAAAGCCAGAAAGGAATGATGATTGTGAGCAGGAGATTCTGTCAGCAAATTACATTATGGTGTCAAAGGAGGGAGCAGATTTTACTGGTGTTCATTATCCTTCTGCTTTTATTTTGAGCCTGTAAAAATTGGAAGTGCAACTCTGCCAGCGGTGGCTGAATGGGTAGATGCAGAGAGCTACAATCGGTTCCCCAGGCTGGACGTCCCATATGCGATCCAACAGAAAGTCACTTCAGGTAAAAGTGAGGTTATGTGCAGTACGTGTCCACCTCGGGAGAAAGAGCGTCACCGTGCCCCCCACCCACGAGACACATTTGTCAGCTCCTCCAGCTCTCTGAACACTTTGGAATGGAAAATGCTGTGACTCTTCTCGATGCAACAGGGTTTTTTGGTGACGCTGTTGCCCCAGCAAGTCTCATGCTGAGACGCAGGTTCCTGTGGGCAGGCAGAAGGGTCACTCTGTCCCTACAACAGTGAGTTCTTGCCAGCAAACACTCCAGAAAGCAGGAGCGCAGAGCGGGACGTGTGCTCTGCGTTAATGCTGGTAGCTGGATGAACTGCTGCTGCCATGGAGAGAATAGCTTCTCTCCTAGAAATACGAGAGGTTTCCGAATCATTGAGTCAGGGAGTAACGTCACACGCATTATTGCAGATACATAAAGCCACCTTACAATGTGTTAGGTGCTTTGACTTCCCCATGGGTGCTGGCAGAGTGTTGCTCTGCGTGTAGGAAAGGAAACTCGCGGCAGTTTCCTCTGAGAAGGAGGAGCGTCAGCTGGAGGCATTAGCTGCTGTGCACCTGGGCCTAGCAAATACAGCCATTCCATGGCTAAATATTTCAGACCAAGCAAAAGGAGGGCTTAAGCACCAGTGTAAGGAATTCTTGGGGTTTTTTTCTCCTTTTTTTTTCTTTCTCCATTTCATAGGCTTTCACAGAATTTTCATTGGTTTCATAGAAACCAATGTTTCAAAATACCTCTTGCATGTGAAATAGTTAATTATACAATTTAGATGGAAGAGCTTTAGAAGTTTTCTTCCCTATAATTTTCCAAAATTATGTATTTATCCCAGTCTCTCCCACTTACAGGTTGGCTGATCCTCATATGGTTTGCATGTTCTTTATCAGAAAATGTTCTCTCTTCTCTTCATCTGAAGGTTACACGGGTTACATACCCCGCTACACTTGGATCACTGGTGTTAACTACATCCAGGGTGTGAAGGATGCCATGAGTGAATTTGACAGAAATCAGGTAGAGTATGTACCCAAACTTCCTTTCAGCAATGTCGTGTTGGTCTCAAGCCCCTTGCAACCCTGAAAGTGGCTTCATTTACATTAGTTGTATTAGAACTGGGGTTGTACGTGCAACTAAAATAAAATCCTGTTAAGTAACACGTTGAAAAAAAATCATAAGCAATTAGATTGTGTAACTCGTCTCCTTAGGACATTAACAGAGGACAAATGAGTTTGTAAAGGGATTAAGTAAATTTATTGAGGGAAAGTTATTGGCTTGCAATTTAAATGTTGCTCTGGATGCAGAAACACAGGATCCATCTATTTGCACTTCCCTATCACTTTCCTACCTGCCTGGTAGTGATGGGTGGCTTCCTGGGCTGCCTTCTGTGGGTTGCAGTGCTTTTTCCTTTACTGGGATAATGTTTTGGAAGGATCTATAATCTTCTCCCTTCTCCTCCTTTGGTAAGGATGCAGACATATGCTTACTGCACGCCTCTTATTTCCTTCTCTCCTGTAAGATGAGCTGTGCAATGCCACTGCAGACCTCCTACGTGACCAGAAACGGTCTCTCCCCCAGGAGCTAGGCTGCATTCAGACCTGCAGGCTTCTTCCTGCCTGCGAAGGAGCAGAGTGAAATCACTGCGATGCAGAAGCCGCTGGACGGGGGCCAGCGAGGATTCATCAGCTCAGTCACACAGCTATTGAAAAGCAGGCTACAAATTTCCCTACCCCTCCTTGTCGCTAGGATTCACTGTGGTGCCTTCGTGCCAGAGCAAATTGGTCTGATGTAGAAGAAAGTCCAAGATAGAGGCTGCTTTGACTCGGAGGAGCTCAGCCGGGTGTGAATGACTCAGCAGCAGGCAGATATTTCCTGGTGGCCTCCTGATGGTTTTGCTGATTTTTTTTTTTTAACCTGTGCTGCCTTGCTTAACTTTCCCTTGTGCAGATGAAAGAAATTGGAAACAAGCCCAGACCTTATCAAAACTAATTGTGCTCTTTGTAAAGCCTTCCTGCCCCTGCATCCCTGCAAGACGGTGGCCGGGGCTGCCATGCAGTGAGCTGGGGTGGGAGACGGGTGGTTTCCCGCAGCGCTGGAGTCACCGGCTCGTAGGGCTTTTCCACGGCATGCGAGGAATAGGAACACATTAAAAATTCCTAGGACGGTTCTAAGATGGCTTCTGACTTCAAGCCACTAATCTTCTGCCCTAAATCTGCGTTGCCCTGGGTTATGTGCTAGGATGTGCCATGGATCATTTCTAAACATCTACCTCAGGCGCAATAATGAAATCCTCTTGCTTCAGTGCTGCTTTTGAGGGTGATGCAGGAACCAGGCCATCCAGGCTGTTGCCAGAGTGATCCGATGGACCCTGCCGCACGCTCAGGCTCACAAACACTGTCCCTCCTTTGCCCCAGAGCAGGGTGCACATTTGGGAGGCCGGGGAAGCTTTACTGGCCCCTTGGGGTGATCTGCAGAGCTGCAGTGTTGGTCAAGATGTCCCCTTATCTCCGTTTGACCTCTGCAATCATGCGGCGGGTGCAGGAGGGATGGTTTAGCCTCCCTTTAGCTAACGCTCCCTAAGCCTCCCTGTTCCTTCTACCCTGGGAATCGCTGGCTCATGGCCGTGAGTGGGAGTCACCGAATCCCATCAGGTGAAGGTGTCAGGACATTTGCAGAGTCGCAGCAGCCGAGACACCCGACTCCAGCGGTGATGGCCGGCCACCAGTAATTCAGGTTTATGAGCACGAGGCCCTGGAGGCTTGTGGATGGTGCCCCAGAGTTATCAATGCAGTTCAGCCTGGACAGAATTTGAGGGCAGAAAGCTGATGTGGGCTCCTGAGGGGGGACGTCACCTGCCTCGCCACTGGAGAGGCTTTTTCCTCTATCACGTTCAGGGGCAAGGTAAGTGGGAGAAGGGAGGCTGCAAGCAGCTGCTAATCAGAGGAAAAGGGGACTTTTGCATTAGCTTTTCATTAGCTTAAATATGTCCATTCACACAAAGTCAAATCACATTACTTGTGTAACCAAACTACATTGTAAAATGAACAATACTTTTTGTTTTTTTAATTCCAGTTTTTGCTGCAAAACCCAGTTTGTGAATTTGGCAAAAGACTACCGCAGTCATACTGGCCTAACAACAGAATTTACACCAGTGCTGGACTGATCCCTTTCTATACAGGCTTTGTACCAAGTAAGTTTATCAGCCCAAGGCAAACAAAAGTCACTGATACTAATTAGGAAAGTACTGTTGTAAGTAGCAATAGTGCTATGGAGAGCAGTTACTGAAATGTTCCATACTGGAAGTAATTTTATTTTTAGTCTTTGCCAAGGACTAGGATTTGTCCCTGCTTTCCCGTAGGAGACCCCATGGTCCGTATTGTGTGTCTGGACTTCTGCAGAGTGTTTCTGCAGTTTCCAGCTGCAAATCCCCCCAAAAGTGAAGAGTGCTCAGTAGTAGCTCACCTGCTTTATGGTACATACCACAATGCCTTCATTAAGAAAGTGATTTCTGTTCCAAAAATGTTTGATAAAAGCCAAAAGATAGGTAATACAAACAGATTGGGAGAAGAAGAAAACTGCAGCAAAAATGATGTTAGCCATCAAGAGATGTAGTGGCTTCCCTGTGGTGTCTACCTAATTACTGTCATTATAGTCAATATACCCAATACCCAATACCATAAACCATATACCCAATATACTGTCATTTTTTAGCAAAAAGAGGTCTGAGTAAAGTAGCTTTGTCAATGATAAGGGGAAATTCTGCACTTGAGAGAAAGCATTAATATGGCAGACTGAAATTTCAACAAATGAGCAATTGATATTGGACTAGCAGGGCAAAGCTCTGGTGTGTCAGTAATGTGTAAACAAGAGGAAAGTTTGGAGACAATCAACCTAAGCTGATAAGTACTTGATGCAATAAACAGAAGGAAAATGGTACTGAACACAAGAAATCAGGGAAGAAGTGAAAGAAAAGGTGGGAAGAAATGAGTATCATGGCAGGTTGGACTCAGACTGGTAACAAAATTGAACTTGAGCTGAGTGGAGAATGATGAATTATGGATCTTATAACACGGCATCGCAAAAGTTCAGCTGAGAAAAGCTATGCAGAAAAAAAAGCCCTAAGTTTTACACATAGCTGGTAAGTTCTTGAAGGAGGATAAAAAAAAAAGATGTAGCCAGGAAGTTCTGGTAGGGCTAAATGCTTAAACATTGCTAATGCAATCATCATGTTTAGGCCTGCCAAAAAAATTAAGAGGTGGCCTGGAACTGGGTTCTACAGCTTCTGCTTGTTCCCTCTAACAGTTGCTTTGGGACAAAAACAGCCCAGAGGAACAGTGTGATTTAATATCACGTACCGGGCATAGGAAAAGGAGGCAGACCTCCCAACCTCTGTCATCACATTCCTCCTTCTGTGGAAGGAGACACACACTGAGCCTAGACGCTGCAGTTGCTCTGACGCTACAGAAAAACAAAATCGTGCTGCAATGACACATGTCCCGTCTGTGTAGTGAAAGGGAGGGGGGATCTAAAAATCAGCTTTGGGACAAAACCCCACTGCTTGATCAAGTGTTACACAATGCTTCAAAAAAGCTTTTTTTTTTTTTTTTTTTTTTTTTGTCATCTTTGACTCTACATAAGCATCCTCCGATGTAAGCTTGAACCTGGTCGCCTGTTTCTCTTTGAAAGTCATTTTCTATCAACTCAATAGCTTATTTTCTTATGAAGCTAATGAAAAACTCATGAAAAAGCTATTATCTTTATGATAAACAGCGTTAACTCTGGTAAGAGATGCTGTGTTAGGAGTTACAGAAATGTAACCCACTCTCACTCACAACTAGGACCGCTCAGCAGTACTTCCTCAGCAGAGGAGCAAGCTGTTCTTGCCTGTCTCCATGAGCCCGTTTTGAGCAAACGTTTTCCTCTGTCAGTTTAGCTAACGCTGAAGCCTAGTTGTCTCCATAGTGACTGTTTGTTTGGCTGGTAACACTTTCAAGCAACAAAATAGCGTAGCTTGGGCTCAGGTTCGTACTAACCAGATCAAGAGAAGCTATGTAACCTGCTGAATAAATTGAGATGTCTAGGTATTAGCTTAAACCTGATTCTGTCAAGGGATGCTCCAGTGGCTGAAACTGGGAGATCTCGGGCATTACTTTTGACCTCAGCCATAGCTGGGAATGAGCTTGTTACGGAGAGCTCCGGATCAGGAAGTCAGAGCTTCTCTGCTAAGTTTATGCTGCTAAAAGGGTGCAGAGGATCAGCCCTAGGTGAGGCTGGCTTATCTTCTTCCAGAAATATCCATGCTATCAGAGTAGGGACTGGCCAGTACCAGTTTACACTCCAGATAGGAGTTAAGCTGCTGCTTCCAGGCACCTACATCCCAGCCGGAGCTTCCACTGAGGCCTGCAGAGCTGCTAGGCTCTCCAGGTCAGACCACTTTGGACAGTTGCCCCATCACCTGTAATAGGAGCTCCCACACAGGTACCTAAATTTAGACCCTTACAGGGGACTTCCATCCTTGCTGTTAACTGTATCTTGAGCTGCCAGCAGGCTTGTTAAAAAATACTCTGGTATAATTTTATACAATTTCCTGCAAACTGTGCAGGCGGTGCCAGTGCCACCAGCAACAGGCATTTACCCTGTTAAGAGACTAGGGAGAAAAATGTGTTTGCCAAGGGCAGAGGGACAGATATCTGATGCCATCACTGTTTTGCAGCCCTCCGCCACAGCTATGCTCTTACTTTTGGAAACAGCACCCGAAAAGCTTACCAAAAGGAACAGACGAGACAAAACTGTGCACTGCGAAAAAAAAAACTTTAATGATGCCTGTACAGCATTTGGAGTGACTTTGAAACAGGAAGAGGAACACAACACAGACAGGAGAAGTTTTGAATGAAAGAGTTCATACAGCTTTAAACAAAATTTACAGGTGTTCATTTGCATAGATTTTTACTCCGCCTCTTCCTCAGCCTCCTCTTCAAACTCTCCCTCTTCCTCAGCTGTAGCATCCTGGTACTGCTGGTACTCAGACACCAGGTCATTCATATTGCTCTCAGCTTCTGTGAATTCCATCTCGTCCATGCCCTCGCCAGTGTACCAGTGCAGGAAAGCCTTTCGGCGGAACATGGCGGTAAATTGTTCAGAAATGCGTTTAAAGAGCTCCTGGATGGCTGTGCTGTTACCAATAAAGGTGGCAGACATTTTGAGGCCACGAGGTGGAATATCACAGACCGCTGTTTTAACATTATTGGGAATCCACTCAACAAAATAGCTGCTATTTTTGTTTTGAACATTGAGCATCTGCTCATCAACCTCTTTCATGGACATGCGCCCTCTGAAAACAGCAGCTACTGTGAGATAGCGGCCGTGACGCGGGTCACACGCCGCCATCATATTTTTCGCATCGAACATCTGCTGCGTTAGCTCAGGGACAGTTAAAGCACGGTACTGCTGGCTGCCACGGCTTGTGAGCGGGGCAAAGCCAGGCATGAAAAAGTGCAAACGGGGGAAGGGCACCATGTTAACTGCTAGCTTGCGCAGGTCAGCATTAAGCTGCCCTGGGAAACGCAGGCAGGTGGTAACACCGCTCATAGTTGCTGACACTAAATGGTTCAGATCACCGTACGTTGGAGTAGTTAACTTCAGTGTTCTGAAGCATATATCATAGAGTGCTTCGTTATCAATACAGTATGTTTCGTCTGTGTTCTCCACAAGTTGGTGCACAGAGAGTGTCGCATTGTAGGGCTCTACTACAGTATCTGATACTTTAGGGGAAGGTACAACACTGAAAGTATTCATAATGCGGTCTGGGTACTCCTCCCGGATTTTGCTGATGAGAAGGGTGCCCATGCCCGAGCCAGTGCCACCACCAAGGGAGTGAGTAAGCTGAAAGCCCTGGAGACAATCGCAGCTTTCTGCTTCCTTTCTTACAACATCTAACACTGAATCAACTAATTCAGCACCTTCAGTATAGTGGCCCTTTGCCCAGTTATTTCCTGCTCCGCTCTGACCTGGAAGAGAGACATTTCCATATTAAATTACAGCCACTGCTTCCTGCTTGCAAGCAAAGCATAGGCACATCAACCTACAGCGATGCTCCCATTTTATCAAGTGCAGAGCGACAGTGGCATACAGGCATCTCTAAAACGCCTGGAAGCTACGCAGAAAAACGTTTACTAGCCAGGGACGCAGCAGCCATTTGCATTCTCCCAATGTCAAGTGCACCAACACCTCGTGCCTTTGCGGAGCGGCTCTCCCCACGCTGCCAGGCGCTCCGTGCCCGCGGAAGGGCCAGGATTAGCCCCCCTCCACCCCCCCGGCAGCGCGTGCGGCGGCGCAGCCCGCAGCGAGCGTCGCTCCCTGCCCGCCGCGCCGCCCCCCCTCGCCCCGACCCAACCGAACACGAAGC